TGTTATTAAATAATGAAAGGAAATATGCATATATTATTGATGCGAGAGGTTTAACCAGCGCCAGGTAATATTTTGTTCTTATAAGTGGAGTGGGGCTTCGTATTGTGTGAAATTAATAGACACCGGCATCACTGCTAAAGTGAATAAAATACTTAGAATTTAATAATAGTTCTTGACTTCTTAGTGTCGTTTTGAGCTCCATAGTAGAATTAAGGGCTTTCCTAGGGTGCCCTGAAGACCTTGAAGACCCTGAAGAGCCAAAACACTTCAAATCCAAATGGCTAGAAAATCGTCCTCATTCATGGGCTCATGAGACGATGGTGCATCCACTGTGGCACGGGCCATCATAAGCAGCTACCCACTGCACACTCTCCCTTCCCCATGCTTGCGGTATGACTAGTATGATCAAGGAAGGGAGCCTATAGTACGCTGTGATAGGTGATGTGATTCTAGTCGTTGGCCCAGGGCAGCTTAAGCTGCATGTTCATTCACTCATTTTCAAGGCAAAATCAAAGCCAATTACGGTTATGTTAGGGCTAAAGTGGACAAAGAGCCATGGCCAGCCTAACAGAGGTATGCCAATGAAGATACTGCTTCCCGAATATAATGCCATATTCCTAAGATATATCTTTGCGATTACTCATTATCAGAATCAAATAATTCATGACAGCCTCACTGCCCAAGATGCTCTTGAAATTTTAATTGTGGCTGATAAGTACGATATTGTTGATGCCCTGTCATTAACAAGCTGGCCTTGGCTTCGCGCTTGCGATAAAAGTGCGACAGTACCTATGGTTGTCACGGCTGCAGCATATTTATTTTGGAGTCCAGAAGCTTTTAATAAGATCACCAAGGCACTAGTCCTCGACGATGAAGGCTCTTCTTACCTTCTTCTCCTTACAACAGAGATCGAAGGGTAATAGAAGCCAGATTCGACGAAATGAAGTGCGTTGGATACGCAATTCTAGGACTAAAGAGAGAAGAAGAAAGGACGAAAGAAAGATGCCTGTCATCCGAATTAGTATCTCGGCCGCACATATTATGTGACCGAGGAGTCATGTCACGCTAGTCGGGATAGGAAGTAGAAACTGGTCCTCGATTGTTACAATGACTTGAATTTGTACGGTTATTCAGGGCAAATAGGGTGGGTAACATTAAAGCCTTTTTAACTCCAATTCGTATGTATGCTGGGGATGGATATCTAGCGACTGCATGTTTGGATCTGCTTGGGGTGGGGTACCTACGGTGCTCTATAAGTGCTGGGTGGGTAGTAGTTGTATACATATGTATTTTACAGTGGTGTTGCAAAAGTTTCCAACCTCCTATTGCCCACTATTTTTGGCCGCCTTCTAATGGCAGACTAGTAGCTACTCAAGATGGAATAGAGTAGCTAATCTCTTCTATCTTAGGTAGGCACTAGTCTACCTTCGGAAGGGGGCGGTCAGGCTGGTCAACAAGGGCTTCGAAACTTTTGCAACACCACTGTAAAATACCTCTATATACAACTACTGATCACCCAGCACTTATTGAGCACCGTAGATATCAATAAGATGCCTTCTTTAGCACCGGCAACTTGTGATAAAATATCAATCATAGAAACAAGTCTGGGGGGAGGCTCCATAGACCGCGAAAAACCTATAAATTTATCCATTTGGGCCTTTTTTTAGCCAACCCGAAGTTGATTCTGCTTATTGTTTAATGGAATCCTGATTCATACAGTAGCTCTGCCACTGGGCACCGAAAACAGGTCATTTGTGCTGATACCTGAGGGTTTCGGGTCCATATCATCCCGCGCACCGCACATGTAACTAGTAGTCAGCCTCAGTTAGTCTCCTGCACACACATGGGGTCCAAAAATGCTCGAATCAGATCTCTTGATATGACCTACATACAATGGTGGCAGTGATTATAAGAAGCTAGATCTATTTAGGTAATTTATAATTGAGAAGTTGTCAATTCAAAGCCTGCGGCTGTGGAGCTCAATTTGTTTTCCTTGGGTTCTCATGGATCACCATAGAGTAGATGGCTATCCCTTGATTATATCTCCACAATAGCACACAGCACTCGCTTATGTGTGTATGCGTATGCTTGCGTATAAACAGAAGCAATATTTCGAATATTTATGGTCATATATGAATACTCCAGTTGTCGCACAATCGAGCTTTATTTGACGAGCATGATATATGCTGTCAATAGCGATGAGTGCGATCTATTTCTTGGCTGTAGAGTAGTATGTTACAATCATTAACCATCGCCTAGGCCCCATTAAAGAACATACTAACTGGCCAGATAAAAAACCCACAATTACATCATGCCTTTTTTTTATATGCTTCGTCAAAGCCAATTGACCCAACTTTGAAAGGATCATCATAAAGTAAACGGATTGTGAAGCCATATAGAGACCAAATACCCTGCTAATCTCCAAGACAAACAAATCTAACTCAACAATCAGACCACGAGCTCAGAAGTCAATAATATTTCAGTCATCGCTGGCGTGAGTTTATTCCTCTATTGATCATCTTAACAGCTTCTCAGGTAATAGATAGGTAGAAGCTAATAGTTATTAATTGATTTCAGTATATCGATTTCGCTAAGAGATAGTTGGATTAATTTGACCTGAGTCCTTATTTGTGATCTTAATTGTTATATATTGATTAAATGATTTTAAAATATAGTATTAAAGTACTAATCATCAGGATACTCATCCCTGACATTACTAATAAATGCCTGCGCCACCCTGTCCCACCTTTTAAAATGCTTGCCAGCAATACTCGTCAGGCTTGAAGGTAAATCCTCAATATCAGGCAGAATAAGGCTGATATTCTCCTCAGCAACATAACGAACGCTCCGGTCTTCGACTAGAACATGGTAAAAGCTCTGGTGCCGGCCAGCTTGCAAACGATCGATCCCCATCCGCCTCATCCACTGCTCCCCAGCACCACATTCAGAATCCCAACCAGTTATAATAGCCCGGTAATGATAGCGACGATGCTGGAAGACTTGTCCTACCTTATACCGGACAGCTCTGTTCTCACCGGTGCGCCGATGGATTTGCTTTGGAATCTCGTCCACGGCTCGCATGACGTGGAGGCTTTCGAGGATATGCTCGTGTTCAAGAAGGCCATTGAACAAAGGCACGACATACTGCTCCACCAAAAAGATATCAGAGGGAAAGTCTGTCGCAAAAAGCTCCATCAACAATGACAATTGGTGTCGTAGATCCATTGGCCGTGAATCAGCCGAAAGAAGCATCGATGACCACGAAGCCGCATATTTTGCACTCACGATATCCACCGGTGTAGCATGGAAATCGAATTGCCTAGTCGCAGAATGGATCGAGTTCACAATGTTCTTGCTGCACCTCAAAACGACCTCCGAGGGTAATGATTCGCCAAGGAATTCGCTCTGCTCTGTTTCTGATGCGCCGAGGAATATCAACTGTTGTCGGAGGTCGGAGACTGGTGTCTCCCTTGCACCTCTAAATGGATCGAGATACATAGGCGAGCCGGGTTCGGTACCAGTGACTTTGTTCCCGTCCATATCAAATCCAGTTTGTGGAGTAACGATGACATGGACATGAAATGGAAATCCACAAGGATGGGCATCGATTCCAAGCGCCTGGGCAACATGGCAATATATGACCGCCGAGATCAATGGCAACGAGTTGTGTCCCGGGCTATTGAGAGCCATCCCCAAGAAATTGTGTTCCAGAGAATGGTACTCTCGCCCCGATTCGATACCTGTCAGGTCATTCGCTCGCAGCCAAGACGCAAGTTCGAGAGCTTTCGCACGGGGGCTTTGATCATCAAAATCTGGGTGAGAGGTCGTGAATTGGTGGACCACTTGGGCCATGGCATGCTCAAGCTGGAACTTCATTAGCCAGTTTAATTTGGACAGGGCTGGGTTTGGAAGAACAAACCTCGTCAAAGTCACCATACCCGCTTTCCGGGATGAAGAGGTCGAATGCGCCCAGGGCGCGGTCAAGTGAGACTGTCTCGCCACGCCGCAGTTTATCCCACTCTGGAACAGCGATACTTCGGTGTAGACAGGTCAAAAGGGCACGGGCATAGTATCTTATGCTCGAGGAACACTGGTAAGCTTTGGAGAACCGAAGATATAGGAGAGATTGCCTGATTTAATACGCACCTCCTTGCGAGATGGTCCTCGCCATCTTGTACTTGGCTATTCCGTAACAGCGTATCTTTTGCATCGTAACCGAACTCGATCACGGCTCGGAACTTCTCAATCCGACCTGCCTGGCTGGCGAGAATACTGTCCAGGAGTTGGGTGACGGAACCATCGATCTGATATCTCAGTATAAACAGCGCTTTCCAATCTACTGATGACGCCGGGAGGATAAATTTTCGGTGAATATCATGTCGCCGGTCCCAGAACTTGTAGTAGGTTCGGCAATAATGCCGCCATAGCAAGGGCCGTTTCGTCACATCTCCGAACCGGCAACTGGTTTGTTGGAGAGCTGTAGCAGACCGCGGGTGTGAGTGGCATAGGATCGAATGAAGGATCTCTTCCGGCAATTGATTGAGAGAAAGAATCATCCCTGTGAAGGTCGCGTAAGGCGCTTGGTACGCGCAGGCTAGAGAAGAACTGCCTGGATATTTGACAACCCGAAGGAAATTCAAGGAAAAAGCCCTGAAAGAATAATCACTCAGAAAAGGAAATAGAATTTGAGCTTAGCATCAGGTATTAGAGCAAAGTCAACGCCAGCGTTGGGCCCTTGGGGATGGGGGATGTTCGGTCATGGTGCTCACTGGGGACAGGAACGAACGCGAAGAAGACAAGGCGGGGAAACCTGTGACCTACGCCAAGACCCGCAAACTTGCCCTCCATCGGGACGCGCCATCGCTGCATATTTTACTCCGAACACAGACGAATGGCCGAGCGGTGCTTCGCGCTCTCAACACTGGGCCTTTTCGGGGGAATGACGAGAAAATTCTCGAATATTCCTACAACTTGAATTTCATACCCTTGGTCTCCTCACCATGGGCCAATCTCAGTCAACAGGGTCGGCGCCAGAGCCGCAGCCCGAACAAAAAACCGATTATTATGACCTACTATGTGTCTCCCGAACGGCAACCGACGACGAGTAAGCTAAACGCCCTGAAGCCTCCCCGATCACCACCACGGTTCTTCGTCTCACATTCAATAGGATTAAAAAGGCATACCGAAAGAAAGCCCTCGAATTGCACCCTGATCGAAACTACGGCAATGTTGATGAAGCCACCCGCCTTTTCGCCGAGATTCAATCCGCCTATGAAGTCCTAGCAGATCCCCAGGAGCGAGCCTGGTACGACTCCCATAAGGATGCATTTCTAGGAACCCAAACTTCGGACGGCTCCTCGGAGGGAGCCTATAATATACGTATCACCACCGCGGAAGAAGTCCTCAAGGTCTTCTCGAAGTTCAGCCCTCGAATGGAATTTTCCGACTCCCCTCCGGATTCTTCGGCGGACTCCAAGAACAATTCGCGCAATTGGCACTCGAGGAGCGAGCTGCTTGTCAGTGGGAAAATCAGGATATTGTAGAATATCCATCCTTCGGTTCTGCCGGTGGTGATTTCGAGACCGTTGTTCGTCCATTTTACTCGGTTTGGACTGGATTCTCTACCAAGAAGTCATTCGCTTGGAAAGACGCCCATCGCTTATCCGAAGCACCTGATCGTCGAGTCCGGCGACTTATGGAAAAAGAAAACCGACGCCTTCGCGACGAAGGGATTCGGACTTTCAACGATGCAGTGCGATCATTGGTAGCTTTTATCAAGAAACGTGATCCACGTTGGAAGATCAATGCCCAAAACGAAGCCCAGCGCCAAGAAGCTCTGCGTCAATCAGTCGCAGCTCAAGCAGCTAGGTCTCGAGCTATGAACAATGCCAAGATGCGCGATCATGTTCTGCCAGAGTGGGCGCGGTCCGAGGAGCATGTGGTTAGCGATGATGACGAAGAAAGCTCCGAGAGCGAAGTCGAGAGCTTTGAGTGTGTTGCATGCAACAAAAATTTCAAGAGCGAGAAACAATTCGAGGCTCATGAAAAGAGCAAGAAGCATGTCAAGGCTGTAAAGCAATTGACCCGTGAAATGCGCTTGCAAGATGTACAACTCGATTTAGACCAGCCTACGGTTGAACGTGATGCGTCCGATCTCGATCCACTTGATGACGATATACCCGCCGAGGACGTTGAAAGCGTACGCACGGCGTCCCCAGTTGGCGAAGCAGAGTCCAGTACGGACGAGGCTGGTGAGCCTCCAATTGACCAGTCTCAAGAAACGACTCCTTCTGACTTGGATAAAGATACCAAAGAATCCAGCATAGCTACTCCGGATCAAGAGCTAGACTCATCTGATTCCGGTGGCGATGAAGATTATGCATCCCGGGAGACCGTAGAAACGCGACTTCACCCAGACTTCGGCTCTGCACAGGATCAGGATCCGGTCACTCCACTAAACGAGCAGTTATCTTCTGTGGTGCTTGAGGAAGAAGCAGAAGAACAGCCCCGGGCTCCTGCTCTAGGAAAAGCCAAGCAGAAAAAGGCCAAGAAAGCGGCACGAGAGGTCGGGGATCAAAATCAATCAGGTCTGATGTGTTCTGGGTGCAATGCCAACTTCCCTTCAAAAACGAAGTTGTTTGCCCATCTTCAGAAAAACCCATCACATGCACAATTAAAGACTACCACGAAGGGCCGAAGGCGCTGAGGGTTTGTTTATATTACGCATCTGCTTATCTTTATACCACTTCCCATCGGCCTTACGCATTTACGAATAGACTCTAGAATACTAGGATATCTAGCGATGAAGAGAAAATGAAATGATAATCTATTTTCACTCTATTCTAGTCTAATTGGATACACTCTCGCATACTCAGATACAGCAGTGTTGATAAAGGTGTACAAAGAAAGGCCCCATATAGGGTAGGAAGTCTTTTTATCCAAGACCCGTTCGCGAATTCTTGACCACATGCGTAACAGGTTGAAGGATACCCTTGTTGTTGGAAGCTCCAAGAGCTGTCCCACTACTCCAACCCATCTTCTCCAGCATGGCTCGGCCACGATTTCCAGCTCCAATTTCCGGTGCCGATCCACCGACCACATCTCCATCCATGTAGGTGACGCCTGAAGTGACACCGCCTCCTCCTCTGGGCTTGGCCTTTGTTTGTTTCCCATGGCCATCCGCACCCCATGATGCGAACAAGCGACGGTTCAACTTCCTTCCAGATAATAGAGAATCGACCTTCGAGATGGTCTTGCGTGTGTATCCCGGCGTGCGAGATGTTTTAATGAGAATGGGGAATCGAGTAAGGCCGTTTCCTTTGGATTGGGACTTGAGGTTCACAACATTCGCCAATTCGTGGATCGTTTTGCGACGATTCTTGGTCATGGGTGGCAGGGACAGGCTAAGACAAAAATTAGCCGGACTGCCCATTATATAACATCTTGGGGAAGGTAAAGGAGGGGGGAAAGGATGGGGTAATATGGACATACGTTGTTTTCGATGACATGAGGAACGCCCGAATCTCAGTCATCAATTCCTCCATATTCATTCCCTTTGAATATCTCTGTCTCAAATCCGCATCTTCGGGATCTTTCCCAAGAACACCCTGGGAACGAAGCTCTTCTCTCTCTTTCTTCTTCGCCGCCTTCTTCTTGCGATCGGTCTGCCATACGTCTTGCATATGCATTTCCAATTCACTATCGGACAACATCAAGTCGAAGTCAGGCGGCTGCTTCTTACCCTTGCCCGATTTCGACAAGCTGGGTCTTTCAAAGTCCATAATGTCGAACCCATAGTAAGGATCAGCATCAATTGCATCCGCAAAAGCCGATGCGGACGGGAATCCAGATTTGCCGCTTTTGCCTTTCTTTTTGTGGGTTTGAGCATACTCCAGGGCTAATTGCTCGAGAATATCGGCGTCTAGGTCGTCATCATCCGAGTCAAGCTCCTCCAGGTCCGATGTATTTGGCGTGTCTAGTTCGACGTCTGAGGCGATGTTGATGGTCAAGTTGTCCGGCTTGGTGTCAATATGCATTTTCGATAGCACTGGTAATCTCGTGTCAGGTTGTGTCTTGGTATTAAATGAAGTGACCTAGGGAACTTACCGTCGATTGAGCTTTCGACACCAGTCTCGTCATTATTTGCTTGAACCTCGATACCATTCTCGGCTCCAGCTTGGACCCAACTGCTTTCCTCCTCTTCCTCACTCTCACTCTCACTCTCACTATCTTGATCCATATTGGCGATGTAATCTGCCAGAATATCATCATTATCGGGTGACCACTTAAATCTCTCCCTCTTGGGCGGTTTGCGGCGGCCCTGCGCTGGCGCTGGCGCTGGCGTTGGATGTGACTCTTGAGTCCGTAATGTGAGCTCCTCCGTCTGGAGTACCGGTACACTTTGGGGTGCTGGTCCTTGGAGGTTCTGAAGTATTCGGAGATCGCGTTCGTCCGTCTCGATGACTATCGGTTTATTGTTCCGTCCGGTAAAAACCACTTCATCCTCGCTGCTGTCGTCCGAAATGTCTGGATCCGCGAGCGGCGCCGGGTCAGACAGTCCTGTATCGGGCACAGTTTCCCCAACCGAGTCAAGAACGAACAACGGTTCATCGTCCACCTTGGCAGGGGCCTCCTCGTTGTTTTGTTCGATTTCAGTTGCGCACTCGGTTTGTGGTTCTACATCTGCATCTGCTTGTGCTGCTTTTTCGTTTTCGTTTTCGACACCGTCTTGCATTTCGCCGTCTTGCTCCAGATTCTCGAATTCGCTTCGTTGTAACTCTCCGGCACTCACGAAAGCTATTGCTTTGCTGCGGAGATTGCCATTATCCCTTAACCGATGATGTGTCTCTGTATTGCGGGCCTCTTCCTGCATTGTGAATCGATGTGGGGTGAATTGGTGTGGCGACGCCATTTCTGCGACTGGTCAGTTCCCGATGGTCGACGGTTTGGATTAGGGGTAGGGGGTAGAGGGGCGGGAATTTACTTGGAGCAGTCATTGCTGGCGGCCTTTTGGCGCGGGCCTTGAACTTGCCATGGCGGGCCATGAGGGTTGGTGATGTTTGGTAGTTGGGGGAGTGAGGAGGGTAAATCCTATCGGATTCCGATGGGGGTGTGGGCCCGGGCGGTGGGGATATCTCATTGTACAGGTGAAATGCAAGTTTAGGGCGGACTTTTTCGATTTGGGGGACCAAAAAAAAGCGTCTAATTTTTTTTATGGACGTTGTAAATCGGTCTATTCTTTTATTGGCATTAGTGGAACAGGCTTCAAAAAAGGTAGGGGGAAGAAGGGATCACAGGTTTGAGTCTCTTGGAGATAACTGATGATCTCCGGAGTGACGTCGTCCCGAGTGATCCCCCTCTCTCTCTCTTCAAGGGTTCCCTCCGAATATCACCACAGCTCACGATCCTGAGTTTCTTTTGGAATCTTGTTTCGATATTTTCTATATGCCAACTTTGATGGTTCTATCCTGGATTTGAACACTCGATGCGCTAAACTGGGTTGATGTTGGCTCGTGAGTAACCATATCCTTTTGGGGGTGAGATATACCTAGGTACATTATATATATCTTAGTATCTCTGTCTAGGTTTACACTCCCCCACACCTGAGCACTCAACAACAAACAACCAGAACCACCAACCTTAGACCCGAGACATGGCGGGGGTCGATCTGGAGAAATGCAAGCGTATTGTACAATACTTCTGGGACCCCAAACCTAAGAATGACACAGTCCCCAAAGCCTCGATCTGGTGCCTGGGCCAGGAATACACCCCCACCTCAGGAGATGCCTCAAAGGGCATAGGTGAGTCCGAGTCCTGATCCCGCGAGACGCAGACGCAGTTGCGGAGACTTGCTAAGAGTAAAACCTTGCGCCAAACAGCTATAGCAGAAGATACCCCCAGTCGCGACGAGTCCGCAGCGAGTCCCGCTCCGAACGAGACGGTCGGAAGCAGCCCGAGTTCATGGCCAAATGCATTCCTGGATGACTTTGAGTCAAGGATATGGATGACATACCGATCACACTTTCCTCCGATCCCCCGTAACAATACACCAGAAGCGACTTCGTCCATGACCCTAGGCGTCCGTCTACGCAGCCAGCTCATGGACTCCCAGGGATTCACATCAGACACCGGGTGGGGATGCATGATTCGGTCCGGACAAAGCCTACTGGCAAATACACTATCCTTCATACAGCTGGGGCGAGGTGATAATATCCCATACATTATACAGATTAAACCCCCGATGCAAACAGAGTGCTGACTGGCCATGTAGACTGGCGAAGAGGTAACTCGCCGGAGGAAGAGTCCAAGCTACTTGCCATGTTCGCTGATGACCCCGAGAGCCCATTCTCGATACATCGATTTGTTCAACGTGGAGCGGAATATTGTGGGAAATACCCGGGAGAGTGGTTTGGGCCGTCGGCCACAGCTCGCTGTATACAGTATGCTATATGAATGAGCCCCGTCTACCCCGGATCTGTGTGCTAAGCCGATACTAGGATGCTATCCAGCGAATGTGAATCACCCAAGCTGAGGGTCTACGTAACAAACAACACGTCAGACGTCTACGAAGATCAGGTTGCCCGGCTTGGCCGCGATGAAAATGGGCAAACGATACCAGTTCTCGTGCTACTCGGTTTGAGGCTAGGTATCGAGCAGGTTACCTCAGTATATTGGGATGGTCTTCGAGCTGCTCTGCAGTATCCACAATCAGTTGGAATCGCTGGGTAAGTCCACCTGTCCGATGGCCGACCATGATAGACCCGCTCCATGGTGTATTTTCAAGAATAGACAACTGATCGTGAAAACCACAGAGGACGCCCATCAGCGTCGCACTATTTCGTAGGTGTGCAAGATTCCCATCTGTTCTTCCTGGACCCCCATTCCACGCGCCCGGCACTCCCGACGCCTCAACCTGGCAAGATCTACTCCACCGAGGAATTCGATAGTTGCCACACCCGCCGATTGCGACGGATACACATCAAAGACATGGATCCGAGCATGTTGATCGGATTTGTAATTCGGGACGAGGCAGACTGGAAAGATTGGAAACAACGCGTGCAATCAACACCAGGAAAACCCATCATCCACATACTTCCCGGAGCACCGGTGGAAGAAGGCCCAGGTCGAATGGAAGCACTGGACGAAGTTGAGGCGCTGGATGATTCGGATATCGCGGGGTAAAGGATGAAATGGGACGAGAGGCGCGTCGATCGATCGGATCGATCGAAAGAGCGGAAGTGGCGGTGTGGCTATGATGTACAGAATCTAGAAGATAAGAGAGAAAAAAATCCAATAGTGATTGAATGCTTGATTGCATTTGAAATTTCGTGTTCTAGTAGGGGAGGTTCAACCGTGCAACCAGCCCCAAGACCCGAGTTATGTTACACCGCGCGCATCGAGCAGTAACCATCAGAAAAAGTCGCCCATTGGGGTAAAAAGAAATTGAGACCATCCCATGACACATTAGAAAACCCGCAAAACACCCATAACCGACCGCCTCGAAGCCCAGAAAAGATCAGGAGGCAGAGAAAAAAGTAGCAAAAAGCGCAAGAAACGAAAAGGCCAGAACTCAGACCGCTTATTTGGCGGAGGAAGAGTACTTGGTGACAGCCTTGGTGCCCTCAGAGACGGCGTGCTTGGCCAGCTCACCGGGGAGGATCAGGCGGACGGAAGTCTGGATCTCTCGGGAAGAGATGGTGGACTTCTTGTTGTAAGCAGCCAGCTTGGAGGCCTCAGTGGCAACGCGCTCGAAGATGTCTGGAGATATTGTCAGTGGGAAATTCGGGAGATGAAAAAACGCGAAAACGCGTTGAGATGGAACGCGAAAAACATACCGTTGACGAAGGAGTTCAGGATGGACATGGCACGAGTGGAGATACCAGTGTCGGGGTGGACCTGCTTGAGGACTGGAGGAAAAACATTAGTATTTTGGAATTGAGACGCGTTTTTGGAGAAAACGCGATTGAAATCGCGTTCAAAACAGCAAACTCACCCTTGTAGATGTAGGAAGAGTAGGTCTCCTTGCGGGTCTTTCCGCGCTTCTTCTTCTCGCCAGTGGCGGCGGAAGTCTTCTTGCCAGCCTCCTTCTTCTCAGCAGGGGCCTTGCCGGCAACCGGGGCCTTGCCGCCGGTGGAGGGAGTCTTGGTAGCGGCCTTGGGGGGCATTTTGAATGAGTTGATGATAAAAGGTGGTGAAAGGTTGAAAAAGCGAGATGGAGTGAGACGTGAGGATGGAAAGATGGATGGAAGGGAAAGGTAAGAGGAAACGCGGTGACGAGGGGAACGCGGTCTTTATACTGGACCGCCAAAGACTGGTTGATCCCGAGGGAACGCAAAGGAGCCGGAATTTCAATACCGTCATGGCCCTGTATGATCTGTATGATTAAACGCAAGTTTACGCGTCTGGAGGTGGGGGGAGCGGGGTTAGATCACGCGGATCCAGTGTCATAGCCTGTAACGCTGTAATTTACAGCCACCTTGCCTGATCTGGCATGCCCGCACCTTGCTGATCTCCACTCTCATTGGTCGATTCCATTAAGCGAGGCCGTGATCTGGCGGGTTTGCTTTGATGTGAGCCAAACGTCACCCTCACCGCGTTCTTATAAACCCCCCGGACTGCCTCGTCGTCGCCCTTCCACCTGCTCTTTTCCATCTCTCGACCACTCAACTCATTTCCATCACCTTTTCAACCCTTTTCAAACCCCTTTCAACCACCCCCCCCAAAACAACCATCAAAATGACTGGCGGAAAGTCTGGCGGCAAGGCGAGCGGTTCCAAGAACGCTCAGTCGTAAGTTTACCCTTATCTACCAATTCCCAGAAAATGCAACTTTGGACGCGTTTTCGCGTCATCTACACCCATTTGTTTTGAAAGTCTCATTCTGACATCAATCACAGCCGTTCCTCCAAGGCCGGTCTGGCCTTCCCCGTTGGTCGTGTCCACCGTCTTCTCCGCAAGGGCAACTACGCTCAGCGTGTCGGTGCCGGTGCTCCCGTCTACCTCGCCGCTGTCCTCGAGTACCTCGCCGCTGAGATTCTCGAGCTGGCTGGTAACGCCGCCCGTGACAACAAGAAGACCCGTATCATCCCCCGTCACCTTCAGCTCGCCATCCGCAACGATGAGGAGCTGAACAAGCTTCTGGGTCACGTCACCATCGCCCAGGGTGGTGTTCTCCCCAACATCCACCAGAGTACGTTTTCACCCAAATCCTCCAAAACCAAGTCGAATTCCAAACTAACATTTTTCTTCCAGACCTCCTCCCAAGAAGACCCCCAAGGCCGGCAAGGGTAGCCAGGAGCTTTAAATCTAAGCTAAATGGTTTTCTTTCTTTCGCGGGTTTGATTTGTTTTTTTCCGGCGTGGGTTGGTTTTCATTGACACGATAATGGGGTTATGGGACGGGCACGTTATGGCTCTACTGCGTTTTCTTTTTTCTTCTATCAGCTTCCAGGTTGTACATTATGTCTGCGGACATGGAATGATACCGACGAACTACCAGCCTGTTCGAGGGATTTCAGCTTTTTTTCGGATAACTAGCCCCGGGCTTGTACGCAAGTCCGAATCAATGAAAAGATTCTAGGTCCACCAGATATAATCATTTTCCTTTGCTTCTGTAGTTCAAGTTTTAGTATTCTTTTTGTCCGTCATCAACGCGTTAGATTCATTTTCACAACGGGTCATGGAATCGCTGTCTCAATCCGATTCAATATACGATGTACCACAACCAAATTACAAAGTATCTGTTCCCAGTACTTAGTATCGACCCGCCGGCTCGTTTTTATAGTTGGGTGATATTGCTCTTATTCTACGAGCGATTCGATTTGTATACCGACCATCCCTCGGGAACGTATTTATACTCCGTATCGAAAACACGCGCCTGGCTCGATTCGTCTTAATACATAACCGCATCGCTCCGCTTTTTCTCAATACAATATCGTACAATCCGGACTACAACGAGAGTGCAAAGTGCAACGGTAGTATGAAATCAGAGCGCATTCAATTTCATTCTTAATATCTACACAAGGCCCTGTAATCAAAATGCGTGGTCCACTTGCTCCGTCCCAGATATTACTCGATCCATGAATCCCGGTCCCTTGTTTAGTGGGCGGCCGGGGCGCGGCGTCTATTCGTTGTTAGTATTCTTGCCGCAAGAGCATTCCTTGAGCTCAAGCGAGTGAAATGGACGTACATGGTAGAATGCGAGCGGGCAAGTTTCTCTCTCCCATTTGTTTCCTGTGACCAGCGTAAGTTGGAGTCCGGAGCATGCCATCCGGCAAATATCAAAGTCCAGAAGGGCGTAAACGTACCACCGGGGGCAGTGGGATGGCGGTAAGGATCGGGGTGTTTCCACTCCTCGAGGATCTTCTCTGTTTCGCGCAGCAATACCTGGTGTTCGCATGTGTGAGTAGGGCGTGCAATTCAATCCCAATCATTGGATATAGGGCGGGCGGGCAAAGATCGGATCGTGTGCATCGTACCTGTTGCTGGCGAGGATCGCGGACGTCCTTGTTGGCTTCGAAGAGGGAGCGAATATAAACGGCTTGTCCCCGCCACACTGATCGGTGGACAGCCCAGTCAAGGGACAGCTTCAGCGAGCGCCGATAGAGCGAGCTGGGATGGGGTCAGAACGGACGACGGTTCGGGAGATAGCGGCGGTGCAATTGCACACTCACAGAGCGGGGGTGAGGGACATGATTGTGTCCTCGAATCCAATTGGAGTCGGTCTGAATGAGAGGAGAGAGAGAGGCAGCAAATCTGGCGCGAAGTGGACAATGCGCGTCAGACCGAGAACCGAGAAATTGGGGTGGGAGTGATGCGGGTTGACTATTCTCAGCTTCCTCATTCGTTGCGAACTGCACAACTGGTTTCTATGCTCCCCCGCACCGCGCAAAAGGGATCTCCTCCACTCAGCAGCCTTCAGCAGTCAGCGGGTCCACCTCAGGCCAAAACAAGGCCACAACCTGCCTTTTCAATGCCACAAAACAAGGGCGTAAGAACATTACTCCGCTTGCCGGGTGGCTTCCGCATCTCGGCTTCGGGAGCTTTTGGCTTCGGCTACGTAACAGCAACAGGGCGAGAAAGAGTGAGGCTTTTTTTTCTTCCTTTCCCCTTTCCTCCATATCTTACAATATTCCCCCAGGGAAAAGCTTGCGACTTTGTTTCTATTTCAATTCGATTTTCGTTATTCTACACAACATGGCTGCTCGACTTCCTCTCGCGCGCCTCTCGGCTCAGCGCCTGACGACTTTGTCCCGGAGCACTCGGGCTACCAACCGTTTCCGCGGTGTCCAGAGCCTTTCGACTTCCACTCGCTCAAATGTCTCCTCTAGAGCCTCTGGTCTCCTGCAGGCCTCTTCAGGGTAATAACTTCCCATCAATTACCGGCTCGCGCAAATGGAAATGGCTGACGAGGAATATCAGGATCAATGTCTCGCGTAACCTCGCTCCTTTCGTTGGCTCCCAAATCCGAACCTACGGTATATCAATCTCAATCCCAGTCAAATAAAAACCATGCTGACTCTTTTTGCGACCAGCCGATTCTATCGTCAAGGTTCCCCAGATGGCCGAGTCGATCACAGAGGGTACCCTGAAGCAGTTCTCTAAACGTATGCACTAGCCTCGAACAGCGTGGGTCCCCAATGGATATGGATACTAAGTCATTATACAGAGGTCGGCGACTTTGTTGAGCGCGATGAGGAGATTGCCACTATCGAAACCGACAAGGTATGTTCTTTTCTTTTGTCGCATTGGAAAACGGTGTCCTGCAAATTCAAATTCTAACATATTACCTTGTGCATTAGATCGACGTGTCCGTGAATGCCCCCGAGTCCGGTACTATCAAGGAGCTTCTTGTCAACGAGGAGGACACCGTCACCGTCGGACAGGATCTTATCAAGCTGGAGCCCGGAGAAGCGCCTGAGGGCGGCAAGCAGGAGTCTGCCCCCAAGCAGGAGTCTGAGCAGCCCAAGGAGTCCGCCCCCGCTGCTGAGAAGCCCAAGGAGTCCGCCCCCGCTCCTGAGAAGCCCAAGGAGACCCCCAAGGCCTCCAAGCCCGCGCCCCCCAAGGAGGCCCCCAAGGCCGAGTCCCAGACCACCGAGGCTAAGCCCGCCGTCGGCGGCCGTGAGGAGCGTCGCGTACGTACCCGTTTCTTCTTTATGGTTCCAGGTGCCAGGTTGATTGTTTATGCTAATATGATTTGCGCCACTACAGGTCAAGATGAACCGCATGCGTCTGCGCATCGCCGAGCGCCTGAAGCAGTCCCAGAACACCGCCGCTTCCCTCACCACCTTCAATGAGGTCGACATGTCCTCGCTGATGGAGTTCCGCAAGATGTACAAGGATGATGTCCTGAAGAAGACCGGTGTGAAGCTGGGCTTCATGAGCGCTTTCTCCCGCGCTTGCGTTCTGGCCATGAAGGAAGTCCCCGCGGTCAACGCTTCGATCGAGGGCCCCAACGGCGGTGACACCATTGTTTACCGCGACTACGTCGATATCAGTGTTGCCGTTGCCACTGAGAAGGGTCTCGTCACCCCCGTTGTCCGCAACACCGAGACTATGGATCTGGTTGGCATTGAGCAGTCTATTGCCGGTCTTGGTAAGAAGGTATGTTTGAAACTCTGGTTATGAATGCGGTAACATGGACATGTTATTAATATATTACCACTACAGGCTCGCGACAACAAGCTCACCATCGAGGATATGGCCGGTGGTACTTTCACTATCAGCAACGTGAGTTTCATTGTTTCTCCACTATTGATTGGCCTATACTAATTTCAATAGGGTGGTGTCTTCGGTTCTCTGATGGGTACCCCCATCATCAACACCCCCCAGACCGGTAAGCCCCATTCCCATACCTTGCAATTCCTGTCACCGACGTGAAGACCAATTCCTAATCACTCCCTATAGCCGTCCTGGGTCTCCACGCCATCAAGGACAAGCCCGTCGCCGTGAACGGCAAGGTCGAGATCCGCCCCATGATGTACCTCGCCCTCACATACGACCACCGTCTCCTGGATGGCCGTGAGGCCGTCACCTTCCTTGTCAAGGTCAAGGAGTATATCGAGGACCCCCGACGCATGCTGCTCGGGTAAATGGTTTCGTTTCGGTTATAAACTGTAACCAACCCGCCCGCTATGTACCCCGTTGGTTCGATCTGTGTTTTATCGTGCTTAGATCCCCATCGTTGGCACGACCCTGTAGATTATCCAGTTTCTTAGTATCTTGACTAAAACTGCCATTTCAAGAACCTAATTTCTTGGCTTCTTCTGCTTCTTCTGCTCCTGCTTTGCCTTTCTTCGTAGCTGTCTGTAGCTTGGGTCAATCGCGCGTCGTTCGTTGGTGATACGGGATTGGTCTGGCCTCGAGGTCCATCAAGAGCGCGGACGCCTTCCCATGAGTCGGGTATGGCAGATAGGGTGGTGATTTTCGTCCCCCATCCGTTGGGTTGAGCTTTCGCGTTTCTGTTTTGATCTGCGGATCGATCTTTATAGAACTCAACTTGCGTCGGCGGCAATGGCCGAGTCGAGCCAGGGGCGGAAATTGGCGAATGGGCTCGCTCGCCTGGTACTGGTATAGAGCATAGAAGGGATCCCTGGAAAGTCGCACCACGAAAGCGCAGGGCCCCTTCCCTTCCCTCGGGGGACTGGGACTGGGATTGAGGGAGAAGAAGCGCGCTAGTTCGCGTGTTCGGGATCACAGTGTTTGGTTTGCGGTAGGCGTGGCATCGAGTAGATAATTTCCCTTTCTCTTGTCGATTCGATGGAACTAGTTCTCATCGAACGGTCGATATGATGTTGAGAATTTATTTACCGCTGACCAGCGCGCTCCAGGAGCTGTCTCGTTTCATCACGGGACAAATTCCCCAACTTCCCACGCTCCAATTCAATCAAAACAGGAGGATCAAGGACAGTCATCAGATCCAACATGAATCTCATCACTGTATTTTTGAACTGCGCAAGTGGAAATCTCCGTGACGATTCAGGCTGGCTAGCATTGCCGCCATAACCATAGGCTTGACACATTTGGAACCATCGCTTATTGCGGCCAGGGTTAATGCAGTTCCATTCTTGGAGGCGTTTGATAGCGTCGCTGTCATCCGATGTTTTGATTTTATCGTGGATCGCGGCCTGGTGCAAGAATTGAGCACCCACGTCTAGCCAGCGGGATTCGGAGACTTTGGGTACGGCGGCAAGACAAAGATTCATGAAACGAAGGCCGACCTTTGCAAGTTGAGCTGATTCTGAGTCTCGACCTTGTCTTGGCTCGTGTTTGTAACGTCGAACTGCATCTGCTACCCATAGGATCTCACGTTTGATGTTCAGATCCGCGGCCAGCGAGGAGGTTGAAGTTGAAGCGGGAAGAGATCCGAAGGCTGTGTCGGGGTTAATATATTACTAAAAATTCAGGCAACTACCCAGGAATTATGGGGTTTGATATCACTCGATATTGACTTACCTTTCAATGACTGTACGAGCCAGTCGGCTTCCTCGGCTTTGATGGGGTCGCGTATATCATCCGCTGCGGACAGGGTTTGCTCGATCGCAAGACAGACCAGATAGTCCAAAATCAGAGAATTCACATCTTCATGGAGCTCTGGGTCCGCCATCGTGGACCGCGATAACTCTTTTGGTATCATGGTCGGTGAAAGGGGAGTGAAACTTGGACGAATGGTTGCTACTGATGAATTTCCGAGCTAACTCGGGGTGACGCGCAGGTCGGAGTGGAGATATCGAGCGGGCCGCGGATTTTTGGGTGGGGGGAGATGCAGCTTCACCAGGCGATTGCTTCGTATGTTTTTGTTCTGATCTTTGGTCGATTTCGGGGTTTGGCATGTGTTTTGTTCAGTGATAGTTCAGTTGCGACGATATTGGTTTTAAATATTGCTATCTTTGCTCAATTATAGCTTTCCTGGTTTCTTTGTTGCACGTTCAATTTGCCCTCAGACTAAATTAGTACCTGTTTATAGAGAGATATATATATACACCTGCTATGCTCCACACACCACCACCACTTCTCTAAGCTGAATTTCACACTCTTACCCGAAACCTGCCGGAATCTTCAAAAATTCATATCATAAATCAATAATCATATACAAAGACCCAAATAGTCAAGTGTCACGTGGAGGTGAGAAAAGCATGGCGTCACGATGGCCAAATTGAGGTTGACTTCATCCACCGGCGTGAATAACCCCACACGCATCTCTGCATGTTATCTATCACCACCACCACCACGATTCTCTCCTACTACCTTTCACTCCTCTGCTCGCGGGTACTATATGCTTAAGTGGCTACAAAGAATATATCGAAATCTGCCGTACCAACCAACTCGACCCTATTCAATGGCGTGGTACTGCTCCGGATCCACCAATACCGAGCTGGTCGAGAACCTGTTCAAAGGCGGCTTAATCAAAGATGATCGCGTGAAGGAAGCCATGCTAGGAGTAAGTTGAGAAACACCAACCGCCACCCCCCCCAATCATCCATCCAATCTCCCCCCAACCTCGAGCATCTACCGAGTGTCTATGAGCCCCGCATCTGATATATGATCATATCAAGGTCGATAGAGCTCACTACGCACCCTCACGACCATACTCAGACTCACCACAACCCATTGGCCACGGCGCTACAATCTCAGCACCACACATGCACGGCCACGCATGTGAATATCTAATCGACCACCTCTACCCCGGAGCCCGGGTCCTTGACATCGGATCCGGGTCCGGATACCTAACGCATGTCTGAGCAAATCTAGTGACCGGGCCCGACACCTCGGATAAAGGACAAGTGATAGGCATCGACCACATTCACGAATTAGTCGAACTAGCAAAAGACAACATGGACAAATCCCCCGAGGGCCGCTCGCTGCAGGAATCCGGTAAAGTGAAATTCGTCAAAGGCGACGGCCGTCTGGGATGGAAAGAAGAAGCGCCGTACGATGCCATTCATGTCGGTGCTGCTGCCGAGGCTCTTCATCCGGTTTTGATTGAGCAGCTTGCTGCTCCCGGAAGGATGTTTATTCCGGTTGAGTCAGACCCAAATGATGATGAAGGGAGTTTATTGGGTGGTATTGGGGGTCAGTATATTTGGGTTGTGGATAAGAGGAAAGATGGGTCGATTTTTAAGGATAAGGTTTTTCAGGTTAGATATGTGCCTTTGACGGATGCGCCTGGATCATGAGAATGGGTGGTATGCCGAAATTGCAAGATAAAATGGTAAGGTGAAATGGCAAAACAATCTACAATATTTTACTGGGGCGGGGAGGTGGATGCGGCTGGGATGAAGCAAGAATGCTCACAACAATGACGAATGACACAAGATCGAGGAAAGTACCGAAGTTCATTTTGATAGTGAGAATGACAGTGCAATCACTCGAAAAAAAAGAATGGGAAAGAAATCCCCAATCGGATAATTTACCAATGGCAAAATGATCCGGTGTAATGTAATGACTCCTAGAAACACCATGGTATGATTGATGTATGATGGTAAAGTGACACAGAAGAAACAAAACAACAAATGGCTAGGCACAAGTGGCCACCACTCAGCGGAATGGAAAACCGCCTCCACCAGAGAATTTAAACTGCGGCCCACCCTGCTGGAAAAAGAACTGCTGGCCACCACCCTGGCCAAAAGGTGAACCACCCTGGAATCCATGGCCTCGCTGTTGCGACTCGGGATCATTAGGATCGTCGCCGTTATCGTATCGAGTTCGCAGCTCAGAATCAGACAGGACTTCGTAAGCCTCGTTAATAGCCGCCATCTTCTTCTCAGCATCCTCCTTGGACACGCCCTGGGTATGCGCCTTGTCGGGATGGTGCTGCTTGATCAACTGGCGATAGGCACGCTTAAGAGTCCGGTCATCTGCGTCACGGCTGATGCCAAGAACCTTGTAGTAATCCTTTTGCTTTGATCGTTTCAGAAGGGCATGTGCTTTTTGCAGAAGGGTTTGAACTTCCTGCGAGTGAGGGTGGTGCTCCTTCGCGCTGCTTAGTGTGCGAACAGCTTCCTCGAATTTATCTTGGTCCAGCTCATTTTGGGCCTGGTATAGAAGGCCGTGAAGAGAGTGGGGGACTAGCTGGATAGACTCGGCACAATATGGTGCAGCTTTCTTTAACATGCGCATCTAGTGATCCACATTAGCTCGTGAGTCCACAGAAGAAAGAGAGGGAAGAAAATAAATACCTCTCGATATGCCTCACAAGTCTTCTCAACAAGGAAGACATAGAGATTGTTTGATGCCGCAGGATGAATATGACCTGCTTTGCGTGCCTCTGCAACATCACCCTTCACATCATCAATCAACCCACTATCCTCACCATCCCCAACCATAATCTTCACGGCATTGCTAAATTTCCGCGCATCAAGTGCACCATGCAACTTCCCCAACGCTTTCGATAATTGACGTTCCCGCTTATAAAGACGATTGCAAGGACTCGAATCCGGATCCGTGAGAAGACATTTCCGAATCTGCGCCAGACCACGATCATGATCGCCCAACGAATAGAAAAGCATGGACGACATTTGCAGATGAGGCTCTACAAGTTTCGGCGAGATCTGTAGAACATGCGCAAGGTCACTAACACCCTCTTCAATCTCGCCTCTCTCAAACCGACAATGCGCCCGAGTCTTCCTGAGAGGAAGATCGGTATTCGCTTTCAAGATAGCAACGCCCGCCTGCGTAACGCAAGATTCCCAATCACTCTTCTTCTCGGCGGCAAAGGCCAGACCAGCCGCGTCCCGCGCTTCCTCAAGCTCTTTGTATTCGGGGCTGTCTTTTTTGCCCGCCTGGTCGAGATCTGCAAGGGCTTCATCCCAATGTGCGGACCGTGCCTTGAGTCGAGATCTTTGTAAAAGGGCACCCTCGAAGCCCGGCTTCAGCTCCAGGACCCGGTTGAAGTCATCTGTCGCTAGGTGGTTCTTGCCAATGGATAGGTGGGCTGCGCCTCGTTGGTAGATGGTGATGTAGTTTGTTGGATCGCGGGAGATAGCGGCGTCGAAGTATATTAATGCATCGCGAGGGGAGCCCTTGGCTAATTGCGCTTTGGCGGAGGAGATCAATTCGGAGAGCGGAGTATCGGGAGGGATTTGGAGGGCGTTGCTGGTGGAGAGACAGGCCAGAACGACCGTTAGAGTTTCAAATGAAAGACGCATTTTTTCAAAAAAGAGAGACTGGACATGACAGTCCTAAATGTTCGGGGGGTTGAATGTCAGAGAAGAAGGAAGATAAAGGAAGAGAGGGCTGAAGTAAAGAGGATAGATAGACTTGGGGGGGCGAGTTGGGAATGCGCCGTCGCAGAGTGGCCTTTACGCGTAATTTACAATAAATTACCCCAATTACCGCCGCGCATAACTCCGCAGACTCCGCAAGACACTGTCAGTGACACTGGACTGTGAGACCTCCATCCTCCATCTTCCCTCCACAAGGATGCTACAATGTGGTCGGTTCATGAGGCAACCTCTCAGGTTTAGCCTCCAACCATTTCTGCGACGAACCTTGCATACCGGTATGCTATTATACGCATTGCACACATCTACACATTGTCAATTGAACTCGTCGCTGACGCCATTCCCATCGCCTAGATCTAGGCGTGTCACCCGTCCTGTTGACCCGCGCACGATTACTCGCCGCGGAACATGCAAAGCTGTCGAGTCGTCTAGCCGACTCCTTTGATGCCAAAATCGCTAAAAGGGCCGGGGAGTTGGCTCCGTCTGCAGCTATCCTGAAAGAATGGGACAATGCCAATGAGGTATAGTCCAATCCAATCCAATCTTCTTTAGATCTTTCTTTGCAAAGCGCGTCTGTCTAATCTAACTTTGGTCAAAAAAAGTCCATTTCCGAATTAAAAGCCCTCCTCGAAGACCCCGAAACCGACGCAGAACTACACACCCTCGCAACAGAAGACCTCGAAACAAGCCGCGAAGCCCTCCCTTCACTATCAGACCGATTAAAAAAGTCCCTGATCCCCCGCCACCCCTTCGCAGACCTACCATGTCTAGTGGAAATCCGGCCTGGCGCAGGAGGAGACGAAGCCGGCCTCTTCGCCTACGAGATGATGCGCATGTACATGACACTCTGCAGTCGCAAAGGCCTCCGACCAACGATCCTAAAACAAGACGTCGAAGATGGCCCCTCTGAGGACAGACTACTTGAAGCCGTGATCGAGGTTGAAGCGGACGGCGCATACGACATTCTCCGAACAGAGTCCGGAGTCCACCGCGTGCAGCGCGTTCCGGCAACCGAAACGAAAGGGCGCACGCACACTAGCGCAGTGAGCGTGATGGTTTTGCCCAGTTTTCCCGAAAGTGGAAGTGCATCGGACAATGCGTTGAACTTCGATGATCCGACTAGCGATTACTATATCGATCCGCAGGAAGTGCGCGTTGAGAAAATGAGGGCTGGCGGTGCTGGTGGTCAACACGTTAATAAAACCGAGTCCGCTATTCGATTGACTCATATTCCGACGAATACGGTGGTTTCTATGCAAGATGAACGATCTCAGCATGCCAATCGTCGGACGGCTTGGCAGATGCTTCGCGCGAAGATTGCAGAAGCGCGTCAGGAAGCTCGTGAACAGGAACTTGTTCAGCTTCGTCGTGGTGCCATGGGCGGCGTTGCGAAAATGGGTCGGGAGATAAGATTCGTACATATAACTATGGACAGAGTCGTTGCACTGATCATCGAAGTGGTATAACACTTCATAATCTGGACGATGTGCTTGCCGGAGGTGATGGACTGGAATCAGTCATGGAGAGCGTTCGCACTTGGATCTCGGATCGTGAGGTCGAGGCTATGGTTGCGGAAGAATTGGCCAAGGCAGAAGAACAAGAGAAGAAAGAGAAGAAAGAAAAAGGGCAAAATAAGAAGTAAAATATGGCCATGGCCCGGGCCCATCAAGATTCAAAAATATTGTACACTAGAAATGATACCAAATGTATTTTATCACACTCTCACGAGGACTCGACTCTATTGCAAAGTAAAACTGACGCCTATGCCTATCTATTATCCCTCAAAGATATTTTCGCTCCGGATCCGCGATATCCAGCAACTCCATAGACTTCTCATACCTTCAAGTTGTTAGCGTTAGCACCTTCAAAATTGCCGATGTCGAATTGAGGGACAATACATACATAGTAAACACAATTCCACCACTCAGAATCAAACGGGCCAGCCGTGGCACGGCTCCAGACCAGAAGGTCAAGACGCCTTCGTCCTTGAAAATTCTCGCGGCGCATACGAAGCTGTTCTTGTAGTTCTTGCTAGCTTCGAGAGATTGCATTCTTGTCTTCACAGTATCCAATGGCTGGGTAATGTAGCTGTTGATATCTCGTTAGTCATTGATCCTGCAAGTTTCATTTCACAAGCAGCCGGCATAAAACATACACAGTGATAATTCCAGCAATACCACCAATGGCAAAGGTACTCAACGTTCCCAGCTTCTCACCAGGCGCAACATAGCCCTCAGCAAATTGCTTCAAAGTGGTGTAGGCCGTGAATCGAGTCGCCGAATTGGCAGCCTGTCTCGCCGTAGTCGGTACAAAGCCCTGGAAGAAACCCTTGATACCTCGTTCCTGCCAGATGATCTTGCTACCGTGCAAGAAACCGCGCATGCGAGGCTTCTCGGCCTTGCGGTCGTCAATCAGCTGGGTCTTAATACTCTCGAAAGGAGTAACAGCCAAAAGTGACTCGGTGAAGCCAGCACCGAAGCCAGCAACAACGGTCCTGGGGCCGGAGATCTTGCCGTTCTCATCCTGGAGGGTTGCCTTGATAGCGTCGAAGGCGACGAATCCTATATCAGACAGACTCCGCAGTCAGTACACTGAACGAATCCACCCCAATCCACACCACACCACGCCGCAAAAAGAGGGTATACGCACGAATTCCGGCCTTGAGCGAGTTTCCAATGATCAACGTTGTGCACCCCGCATACCATTGCTTTCCAAATGGCGGCCATGGGAGTTTCTGACCCTCAGCGAGGCGGCGATTGAGTTGTGTGCGGGTCTTTGCGACTGCGGGCGCCAATTAGTTCCGGAGAATCGGGGAGAAGAGTAGGAATTGGATTGGAATCGGGACCATACACTCGGCAGGATAAGTAATAGCTAGAAAGAGAGAAAGTTCAATGTTAGCTCATTCATGCCCCGGGTTTGGTCTGTGACACATGCGGGTGCGGTGGGCTGGGCTACTAACCGATCTCCACGGCTCCGGCAGAGGAACCCGCGAGAATGGAGCGCAAGGCGCTGGGCTGGTGGGGTAGATTGATTAGCGTCAATTCGTAAAGGTCGCGTTTATGGACACACCTTCGCCTTCTGGTCCTTGTTTGCCGTGGCCATCTTTGGAGGTGGAGGAGATGAGGGAGGAGTTGTATGTTGAACCTCGGGTTTCGTAGTTCGCGCATTTACGGTCTTCCGGAGACCCACCGTGCGCAGTTCTCCATACCAAAATGGCACTACAGTAGTAAACTATTACTCCGAGGTCGGACTACGCCAGTGCAAAGATCGGAGGAAAATTGTCAATTCGCAAGATGCTAATTCTAGTATCTAGTACCTCGCGCTCCTCCAAAATTCTTTTTTTCTTTTTCTTTTTTCTTTTTCTTTTCAGGGAAGGGGGAAGGGGGAAGAGGCTTGCGTCGAAACTCATAGGATGAGATCGATCAGAGATGCATCAAGATGGGGTTGAAGTTGAAGTACCTGAAAAAAGGTAGATGGCATACACCGGGCGGAGTCGTCGTAGATGAGAAGTGGAGTTGGGGTGCAGTAGAATGGCCCGGGGGGTTTCGAATGTCGTGAAGAAAGGGGAATCGAATCGTGCTCCCTGGGTTCGGTTGGGATTGGGAACACGATTTAGAAAGAAATCAATCCGAAAGCCACACCAAGGTGGCTATGTCGACTCCACAAGAACGCCTCAACTCAACCGAAAAGATCACAGAAAAACGCCTGCTGCTCCGCGATCCTTCAAAGAGGAACAAGCGACCGAGCATATGTACACCTCGCAGCATATGAGGATAAGTGCAGGTCTCGTACGGCACCAGAAAATGCACCATTTCAGATCAGAAGAAAACCTCCCCAACGCGAAAACATGGACCATTGAGACTCGAAATAACGGAACCATGAAAGGAAGAACAGGGGAAATTATGATACACATGTCATACCAGAATCCGTATCATCGTGACAAGAGTAAATGTGACAGAAGCCATATAGTACTCTGCCTTGGGGAAGAAGGTATTGTGGGGGAAGGTTGAAAGGCTTTTGGACGATAAAAGCCGTGGCGAGGGAAAAGGCATAACGTGACACAAAACAGGAAAGATAACAGGTCAAGAAGCGGACGGGAACATAGATTGATCAACAGGGAATTTTGGCGGTAGATTTCAGTTTTCGAGGTAGTATGGACCCTGATGACACTCGCCCAAAAGACCGATAGTCATTTAAGAGATAGGCGCCGGGGGCTTGGGTCCGATTTGGCTAGGAGCAAAGCCAATCTTGTTCGGATCGATCGGGCCACCACGACGAGGGCCTTGTCCATGGCCGCTGCCACGGCTGCCCCGATAAGCGCCGCGGCCTCGGGTGTTGTTGTTGACGTATTGACCACCATTGGCGTTGTGGTGGGTTTGGCGACGTGGTTGACGGTCACCATTGTTTGGGTGGTGAGGTCCCTGGGTGAGCATAGGCTGGGCTGGGTTGGAAATGGGGCGCGGAATATTTTCGGGCGAATCATAGACGTAGAGCTTCTTGTCGATGTTCTGGGGGATAGGTTGAATCTCAGTTCCCAGCTCCTGCTCGATCTTGTACAGGTTGAAACGGTCTTCCCAGTTGATCAAGTTAATAGCGAGACCAAGGTGACCGAAACGACCAGAACGACCAATACGGTGCAGATAGGTCTCCGCATTCTTGGGGAAATCAAAGTTGATGACGACGTTGACCGCTTGAATATCGATACCTCGGGTCAGCAGATCCGAGCAAACGAGGTTGCGGCACACGCCATTGCGGAAGTCGTGGAACACGCGGTTACGGTGTTGTTGAAGCATGCGAGCGTGCGAGTAGAAGCAAGAGTAGCCCAACTCAGTGATCTTTTTCGCGAGCAACTCCACACGGTTTGTAGAATTGCAGAAAATGATGGACTGGTTGATCTGGAGCTTCGAGAAGAGAGTGTTAAGGCAGTGAACCTTCTGCTTTTCTTCGACAAAAGCATAGAACTGTGTGATACCACGCAGAGTGAGTTCGTCCATCAGGTTGATCTCGTAGGGGTTGCGCATGTGCTTGTCCTTGAAGTGTTTGACAATCATGGGGAATGTAGCACTGAAGAGCATGACCTGACGGTCCTTGGGATGGAACGACATCAACTGTTCGATGACAGGAGTGAACTCGGGGGATAGAAGCTTGTCAGCTTCATCCATGACGAAGGTGGGGCATTCAGATAAATCAGCAACACCCTTGCTGGCCAGGTCCAGAACTCGACCGGGAGTGCCGACAAGGATGTGAACGGCATCGTTCAAACGAATGATATCGTCCATGAGACCAGTTCCACCAGTGGTAACCATGACATTGATACCTAAGTGTTTTCCGAGAGTCTTACAGACTTGCGAAGTCTGGAGTGCTAACTCTCTGGTAGGCACCAGGATCAAGGCTTGGGTCTTGGTGTTCTTGGGGTTAATGCGTTCTAGAGTGGGGATAACAAAGGCAGCGGTCTTGCCGGTACCGTTCTTGGCTCGGGCCAGGATATCTCTTCCTGTAAGAGCAACGGGTATCGTCTCTTCTTGAATGGGGGATGGCTTTTCAAATCCGGCCTCGAAGATTCCCATCATCAGCTCTCGCTTGATGTAGAAATCTTCAAATTCCAGGCCCTTAGTAGCAGTGACATCCTGGAAATTCAATCAGTGCTATTCTTGAACTAGAAGGGACGAATTCACGGTCATGGACTAACTTCAGTTTGGGGGCGGGCATCTTTAGGTGGTAGCTTCAATGTATCCTGCAGTCTTTGGTCTGTGTGTCCATCTCTGATAACCAAGTTAGGTCACTTGAATACTATTCAATGAAAATAATCATCTTACCCGAGTTTGGTGTTGCTGAGTTGTGAGGCGAGGAGGTCGTCGGCCATGGTGAAGGTAGGGTATTAAAGAGATGGGGAGAGGAGTCGGAAGGGTAGAAATCGGCGAAAGGTGTAAGAGACCACAAGTGAGAAAACTGGGTGAAATGACTAATTTCAAGAGGTCGCGCGGGGAGGGGCTTGTAGGATTTCCCCAGTGCGTTGGCGTGAAGCTAAAACTCGTCGTCGCACACAATTGGAGTTAAGAGGTCGTGTGGGTAAAGGTGGAGGGGAGTAGACCTGGGAGAATGGCCAGGGAGTGTAGAAGATTCCGAGACTACTTTCGAGAAGTGAGAGAAATCGGTGAATCGTCGGGTCCCCGCGGTGCTTCAAATTTGTGAGATTTCGGGTTGAAGCCGTCAAGTCGTACGTCGAAATGGGTTATTGTGGAAGATAAGATTGGAGATGAGCTTTTCCAGCAAGGTTAGAGAGTAGGTATGATGGTGGAAAATGTCGAGAGGGTGAAGGTAAGAAGGGATTCGTAGGAGTGGAAGCCAGAGAGAGTTGTGCCCAGGGTGCGGCGGACGGCATGATGGTGCCGCCCGGGTCACGTGAAAGCATCGGAATCGGCATATTGGTCGGACTGCGGACAGTTAGTACCATGGTACGGGAACAGCTTCGGAGATAGGTAAATTATAAACAACCCGGGAGGGAGAATATGAGCAAGCGGAATCAGTGGAGATTAAAGAAGTCTGCTTTGACAAAGATATGGGTTGAGTGATTTGCGTTACAGCCTGCACTGGCGAGCATATCGCTGTTCAGGATAGTCACCAGGAGTATCAAGAGCCATTACATTGTCTACATCTTATGATATGATAATAAATTGCAAAAAGGTACATAGTTCACGTGGGAGAATAGTAAAAGTGGGTATTGGTATTAAACAAAAGAGTCTGGGGTAACCTATCAAAGTAAAAAGACATCAATATCAAGCATGTTGATCAACTCTGGAACGTCAAAGCAGTTTGGCCACGTTCAGGCTCAGCCAACTCCTTCACCCTAACATCAGGAGCAATCCTGATATCTGTCTTAGTTCCTGGGGTGATCAAAATGAACTGCCGTCCAATGGAGCGTCGAGCAGCGGTCATCTACAAAAAAAGGTCAGTAAACTGGACTAACAATAATTCTTGTCTCAGATACACTTACAAGCATGTCGATGGCCATTCTTCGATTAATGTGGTCCATGTATACATCACTGCGGGTGTGAAAATTAGTACAGATAAAATAACACAGCGAAATTACCCTGGAGGGTATACATACAATTCGTCAAGACATCGGATAGGCGATCCCATAGCTTCCCACAGGGCAAGTAGCAGACAAATTTGCGAGAAAGACTTCTCGCCACCGGATAGTGTTTTGGCACCGCGGCCGGTCTTGTCGTCCTTGGTGATATCGGGTTCCACCTAAATAGGAGGGAGGGAGTTAGATTCTGTATGAATATGACTGAAGCGTAAGAGTGTAAGTAATATAACTCACCTGTAGGTCTAAGATCTTGTTGGTGTGGTCAGTAAGGAGCTGACCACGGAAACTTCTCTCACTGAGAAGGTATGTGAACTGTGCTTTGGCGCGAGAGGAAATGTGCGCTCTGAAAATCTCCCATCGTTTCTTACGATTGTGGAGGGTAACCTTGAAGAGCTGCTTGTTGTTAGCGGAGTTGCATTCCGAAATGGTAATTTAAGAGTTGAAAAAAGGGAGCTTACCTGAGAAACTGTACTTAGCTCTTCGACCTGATCCTTCGCTCGTACATAGGCTGTCTCTGCCCGGCCAGCCTCTGCGGCAATCTCATCCCGTGAGCCACCGAGCCTAGAGGAAGTTAGTACGAAGTCAAAGTCACACAGTAAGAGCAGGGTATAACAGAGCACATACTGTTGAGCGTAGCGATCCAAGTCTCTGTTCAATTTGGAAAGCTTGTGATCCAGACTGAGAGTTGTCTCGCCTTCATCAATTGCGACGCGGGGGGAGACCTGTTCGGCCTTCCCGCACCACTGAACAACACGAGCCTCTGCAAGCTCTAGGCTTTCCTGAATCTCATCTCTCTTATCCTTCTGTCTTTCGATATCCGCGACAGCAATGTTTTTGTCATTGAAAAGTTCGCGACGTTTGCCCGCCACCAGTGACTGTTCACTCGAAGCCACATGAGACCTTTCCACCAGCTCGGTGATGCTTTGGTCCTTCGCGGCTAGTTCTCGTCTGATTTCCTTCAGAGATTGAACCATGTCGTTCATGGCCTGGACACTGTCATGGTAAGATCCCTCCTGGACTTCTTTATCCTCTTCGGCCTCTTTGAATGCTGCCCGTAAGGCATCAACTCGCCCGTCTTCTGTTGCATTCTCCTTCTCGAGTGCCTCTCTCAGTGTTTCGACATGGTCCTCCATTTTCTGCATCGAAACCTTCAGCCCTTGCGACTCTCGGCCGTGGCGATTATGCGCTTGCTGACAAGTTCTTAAATGGGAGCGAGCGGACTGCAATTCATTCTCCATTTCGTGGGCTTGGCGTTTGAGGTCCTGGACGAGTTCACGCTGGGCACTAAAGGTAGGAACAATGTGTTAGAGCCCCGTCAATGTGAACAGTACATGGATAATCTTACCTGACTTGTGCCGCGAGGTCGGATTTCATTCGAGGATGGCCATTATAGGGATAGACTGGGCTTTGGTTGGGATCGCCGAATTGGTTGTATGAGAGCATGAAACCCCGACGTCTGTCGTCTGCATTGATACTGTAGCACCGCCTCACGTTTCTTGGGCGCTCGCGACCGAAGAATAAAGTCGATGATGCTTCCTTCAGATCTTCAATCAACACACATTGTTCGATACCATGGTTAATGATCAATTGGCGTCGGACCATGGGGTTGTCGATCTGGACCGGTCAGTTAAATTTGCATGGCGGAGCTGGCTCGTCTTACCTCAAGTACTCTCAAAAACGTATCAAATTGCTGGTCTGGTTCCTTGCCAGACGTATCGAGATTACCGCCACTCCCGATGAAAATTGGGCACACGCTGCATTGACTGTTAGAGATTATTTGATTCAATCGATGATAGGAGTCTACTACCCACCAATTGACCTGACGCATTAGGCCCGAGAGAATGTTCATGTCGCCTTTCGAGGAGACAAGAAACGCGCTGAGGGTACCGCCGAGTGTAACCTCGAGGATGGATGCCCATTTTTGATTCAGCAGAGTAACATGGTGGCCCATCGGGCCTATTGGGCGTGAAGCAAAGCGGTCCTCCTTTTCGATGGCACGTAGAAGTGATGGCATTTTATCATGAAATCCATTGCGTCTCTGCCCATCTTCCCGCCTCAGTGAATGTAAGCGGTCCTCGGCTTGTTGGACATCATTCTTTTTGTTGTCGTAGTTAGTCTTTGCAACTTGTACATCTTTTTCAGCCTTTGCGATATTGGCTTTTAACGCGCTTTCGCCTTCATTGTGCTGTTCAAGTTTTTCCTTGGCTTCAGCAGCATCCCTGTCAGCTTGCTCACACTCCTCTTGTTTCCGAGCATAACTCCCGTCATTCATTTCGGCAAGACGGCGGTTTTCATCGTCGATATTCTTTTGCGCCTCGTTCATACGAGACTCGGCGGCTTTGGCATATTCTCGAATCTGACGTTGTTGGGCCTGCTCTGAGTTAGACAATTTTGTTCCCCCCAATGAAAAGTACGAAGGGTTACGGTGCATACCTGAAGCTCAGCACGCTCTCTCATTTTGGCGTCATGCGACTCTTGGATCGTTTCTCGCTCGCCACGAGCATCCTCAAGTGCCTTGTCAGCCCGGTACGCACATTCCGCAGCCGTTTCTGATTCAGCATCATTCAGTCGGAACTTCTCATCGAATTCTTTGAGTTCTTCCTCCGCATTCAATATCTCTTCCTCGGCTTTTGTAAAATCTTCACCAAAAGCATCTCGGGCCTAATAATACGTTAGTCATATTCAAGAGATGAACTGGTCACTACCAACCCTTTCTTGATCCTCTACTTGGGCCCAGGCCATCTGTGCTCGAATATTCTTCCTGCGATCTCTCAAGGAAGCCTGTTGATCCGAAATTTCCAGTTTCCTCTTAGCAACATTACTTCGATTTTCCAGAACACGAATATCTTCCGCCTTGGATCGCAATTTTTCCTCAACCTGATCAACCGACTCTTCAATCAGCCGGTAATCTTTATCCAATTGTTCCAGCTGCACGCCCTTGACGAAGAATTTGTACTTATCCGCCGGGCTCGAGGAGCTAAGAAATTGTCGAGCTGAATCTTGCGAAAGCACATTCATCGGATTGTCAATTTGCAAAGAAAAGTAGTCAGTGATGGCATCGAGTTCTGCCTTCTTGTTTGAAACAATTCGACCGTTCGCCGACTTGATCTTGAAGCTGCTCGCTCCACTTCTCGAGAAATGGCGCTCAACGATGATCGTTTTCCCATAGTCGTCTGCCATGTAGGCACCTTCTTCTTGGTTTTTGAGGTGCACAATGATTGTAGCATTCTCCTTTCCCTGCTTGATGAAACTCTTCAAATTTCCTCCGCGTTGAGTTGCCGAGGCCTTGCCTCCGAGACAAAGCGTAATCGCGGTCAAGATAGCGCTCTTGCCACTGCCGTTCTTCCCGACAATGAAATTGATCAGAGGCCCCAGTTCCACGCTGAAATGATCATGACACATAAAATTGTAGCACTCGACCTTTTCTAAAATGCCTTGATCGGCGGGCTTGTTGGGTTCCTCGGTTATGTGGGCGTATTTCTCTTGGATGATTTGGGTTTGGCGGATTTCCAAGTCCTCTTCGTTTTCGATAGGCTCATCGTCGAAATTGGCGCTGGTTTCCCGATCGCTGGATTCGTAGGATGCTGGCGTTGCCGAAGTACGAGGTCGTTTCCTCTGCTCTAATATTAGAATATGCTTAATCTTGTATTTGGCTTTGTTCGTTACGTACCGAAGGGGGAGGGGAGGACCCTGATGCAGCACTTGCGGAGTCATCGTCGCTCGGGTCGTCAGGGTTCTGAGAGACCTGCACGCGTTTGAAAGACGGCATTCTCGTAATGTGTGTGCCAGAATCAAATATGCACAAGGAAAGATGTGCCCATGGTCACAAATGTCCGTTTGATTGACAGGTAGCACAAGAACAAAGCAATCGCGTCGGCGCGCATTTTCGCGTCAGCGGGTGCTTAAGTAAGCGGGGTAGTTACTGATAAGGCGGGGTCCCCAAGCCGCGGCCCTGGGAATTCATGATTACTTTACAATCAGTAGTGAATTCATCTACCCTGCATTAGGTAGGTTTCACATCGGGCAAGGATTTGATTCAGCATTTGATTAATATGATATGCTACAACTAAATTTCCTGGCCAAGGCACCAATGTTTCGATTGGACCATTTCGATTGTTCGCTCCTACGGGAACACTTCTAGAGGGTGTCAGTACATTTTTATAGGGTGGGCTCCTCGGCGACGTAGTGCAGATAAGCGCCGAGCAGCTTGGTTCCCTCAATGTAGTTCCTGCGGTCAAGCTTCTCGTTGACGGAGTGAGCAGCGTCGGTGGAGCTGCCCATGGGAAGAAGGAGAACATTCTTTCCGGTGGCTTGCTCGAAGGTCAAAGTCACGGGAATACTGTTGATACGGTCAGCAGTGTTCTAGTTATATGCGAAATAACAAAAATTAAAATGTGCTTAGGCTTACCTTCCACCCTCGCGGGTCATATCGGGGTCGACGCCAAAGACTTGCTTCACAGCCTTGCTGGCAGCGCTGAAGTTGCCGTGCTTAGGGCTGGCAACCCACCACTTGCCGTCGTGCTGCAGCCAAACATCGAGAGTGTTCTTGCTGTTAAGTTTGGCGAATTCAGCCTTGATGTAGTCGAAGACCAGCTTGTTCACATCGGCGCTCTCCATGTTAGGCACAGTTCGGATGGAGAACTTGCCAATAACCTTGGCTGGGATGACGGTCTTGGCACCGGGGGCAGAGTAAGCACCCTCGACACCGTGGATGGACAGGGAAGGGAACCTCCAACGGGCCATGAGGGTGCGCTCCTTTGTTGCGTGGATACCGGTCTCGGCACCCAGAGATTCGTGAAGGTTATCCATGGTGTAGCTGATGTCGGGATAAAGAGACTTCTCCTCCTCAGTGACGGGGGCGACAAGCTCCGCAATGCCGGGGATGAGAATGTTACCCTGAGCATCAACCAGCTTGGACAGAACATTCACAAGGTCAGTCATGGGCTCGTGGGCAGATCCACCGAAGACACCACTGTGGAGATCTTGGGCAGGGCCCGAGATGCTGATGGAGTAGTAGTTGCAGCCGCGAAGACCGTAAGTCAGGCAAGGCTTCTCAGTGCCGAGCCAGTAGTTATCAGAAATGCAGACAGCATCGGCATCCTTGAAGTACTTCTTGCTCTCAGCCTGGATGAAATCGTCCAGACCCTCGGAGCCGTACTCCTCCATTCCCTCGAAGCAGCAGAGCAGGTTAACGGGGAAATCAACGCCGGCCTTCTTGTGAGCTTCGATAACGTTGAGCCAGCCGAGAACGGGACCCTTGTCATCAGTGGAACCACGTCCATACATGCGATCCTTATCATCAATGGTCAGCTCGAAAGGCTCGGTGGCCCAGCCATCCTCCTTCAGAGCCGGCTGCACATCGTAGTGACCATAGACCAGGATGGTCCGCTTGTTGGGATCGTTTCCGTAACGGGCAACGACAACAGGAGGCAGCTCGAGGTGCTCCTTGCCGGGCTGCTTGCCCAGAGGTCTTTGCTCAACCTCGGCTCCGAGAGCAGTGAGTTCATCGGTCAGGAACTGGGCCATCTTTGAGGGGACAATCTTAGGTTAGCCTCGCATAACCTGAGGGGAAACGAGAGCTTGATCTACTCACTCTGACCACATCAGGGCGGTTCTCATCTTGCGCTGAGATGGAGGGAATCGCGACCGCCTTGCGTAGACCTAGAGGTATTTGGTTAGCTACACAATCGATCCATCGCGCTTCGCAACTTCGCAGATCCGCGGCAAACCCCGCACGAAGCTTGATTGACCAGGCACATACGATCAATGAAGTTCTCCGACGAGTCGTCGACCCTGGAGGTAGACGCCTGTTAGTTTTCCTCTTTGAGCCTGGTGAGCAGAGGCTATAACATACTGCTTGAAGAAAGGTTCCAGTGAAGGCGCCATTTTGTTGTCGCTGATATGTCCGTAGAAAAAGCGGCGAGGAACAGGAACGTATGGACGGGAGAGAAAACCGGGAAAGAAGCGATTGCCCAGGTTTTGCGAACGAGGGGAGACGACGGAGGGGAAGGAGGGGCATTGCAGAAGGGCACCCTGTGGCACTGCAAAAGAGTCTTATCACGTAATTAGCCCTGCGGTGTTGTACCCAGTTGGAAACCCCGGCTGTAGCCGCCTATCACAGCAATGATGATACCAAGGTTCGCAGCAGGCAGAAAAAGCACTCTCTGGCAGAGCCAGTGCACCGGGGCCCATGCGCTATTTATATAAATTGCACCCGTACTTGATGAAGTAGTATGTAAAGAGTAGTAGTACTAGATTGAATCTGCAATCGTGGAAAAGAAGGTCTTGCCTCCCAATTTTACACTATCTTTGTTTTCACACTTGCCTATCCGGTGTGCCGTGCAGGTGGCCTCGGAGTCCGCGAATTAATTGACAGCCGACCCACTCCACTTCTACGCTTGTGGTCGATGGTGGTTGTGTGGTATTGTTTTTTTTTTCTCTTCTCTTTTTCTTCTACCTTTTTCTCTTCTCTTTCAGCAATCAAGGTTATTTGATACAATTGATATGAATAAATCTGGGAATAGAACAGATGCTAGCTTAGAATACATGTCGTTTTATACAGGGGTTACGCATCGTATCCCCAGGTCCTCATGCCACCATCTCCCAAGGACCCAATTCCGACTCTTAATCCAAATGAAACCGACGATAAGCGCAAAACCTTTGGCCAATCGTTTATTCATCGCGTCCCCAAGCCTCCCGGCGCAACTTCCGGTCTTCCCTGGCCATCCGTCGCTTGGGACCCCATCGTGATTGTACAGCTTCCAGGACCTGCTTCTGGATCGCCTTTTTCTCGGGACTAGCTCCGCAGACCTTCGCAATGAAGAGCGGCGAGCACTCAAACTTCTTAGCCAGACTGTACCGGCTCCAGGTCATCGGGTCGTTCAATCGGAGCTTGCGGATCTCCTCGACATCCTCGGGTGTCAGGTGGTATTTCCTTTCCGGCTGGGTCTTGTACACGCTGGGCAGTTCGTTGACATCGGTGGTAGCTGTAGCAGCAGCCGCTGGCCGCATGACACGTCGGACATCATTGGCAGGCAGGAACTTGCTGGGTGTGTGGTAGACCGACGGGGCGCTGGAGGGTGGGTTGTAGATGATTTGGTCACGACCCTGTTGAGATGGGCCGAAAGATGCATCTGGCTTGACGCGAAGTCGTTGCTTGGTGCGGCGATATGAGGATTGGTGGCGCACGGCACCAATGGAGAGAGATTCTGTCAATGAGGGAAGCAGAAAGGGTAGCGTCAAGAAGGGCCGCTTGGGCATTGTGATCGAGGCCGCCATTGTTGTGGTAGCGCGGAAGTTGAATATTTGGTAGAAAGAGCGGAGGTGTAAGAATTGATGTCCAGATTGATTAGGATCGAGGATTGAGGACGCGGAGAGAATGGGACGACCGGTGGACCGATGCACCTTCCACAGGAGGACGTGTCGAGGCCGAACTTTTTCCCAGGTGGCACGTGACTAAGGGGCTTGACTATATCGGGCATGGCGTCACGGGGGGGATCCAGCAGGAAGTATCGGGTACTTAGCGGTACTGTGACGTACCCTCTAATATTAAAGTACCCAGTACTTAACCCAACATCCCCGTTGATCACCTGGCCATCGAAGGATGTCATCATCTTACTTTCTGAAGTTCATGAAACCCCTTATTCCTCAATATCACCTTACCACACTGACCTCACCTTGTTGAACAAAGTCAAAGCCGCGTTTGAAACATTCAAAGACGGCTTATGGTCATGGCCAACGTCTTTTAGAAGAGCCCGTTTAACACCTCTATTTCTACATCTCTCAACAATCCGACGATTCCCTCCAAGTTGACATTCTTCCCTCTACACTATCCGTCGCCGCCATGTCGGGCCCTACGAGTTCGCCACTCGATTCTACAGAATACCAGATCTCACCACCCGGTTCTTTCCCATCAGACGATATCACAAGACTGGCAGATCAGAATGTCCCTTTGGTCGGAAAGCCAGCATCAAGCGTACGAGCTCCCAGGCCAGCAGGTTTGACCTGGACACAGCTTCAAAACGTGGAGAAAGATACATCCGGAGAGCATGCAATCGCAACAAGATCTGCTACCTCTCATAGTGGTCCCGTATCACCAATTTCACCAATCAGTTCCTCAGAAGCACTCCAAACCCCAAATCTCGATCGGTCAAAGAACAACCCATACAGGACTTGTTCGTCCCCAGGATCCTCCTCACAGGTCCCACCACGTCTTCACTCCCCAGCTTCTCAAATATTCGAGCGCAGCGTACAAGAGGATATCATCCCCACCCAAGCATCTCCATCGATACCCGCGCATATTCGCACAGAGAACTATATCCCGCCCGTTTTGGAAGCATCCTCTGCTGCAATCACCGATGAACAATTAGATCCTGACTCTGTTGAGATCGTAACCCATAGCCTACACCAGCCCGCCACGGGTATCGCCAATTCCTCAACAGCGGAGCAGTCCCTGTCATCCTCCGGCATGATCGATCACGCCGGTTTACACTCCGATGCGGATGAAATGTCTTCCTCGTACGGTGCGTTGGATACAGATGTACGACGTCTAAGCTTCATATCGTTTGCAGACGTAGTCAATGCCGAACACGCTGCCGAGCACGCCGAGAGCGAATCTGTGTACAGCCGAGACCCTTCCCAGGGCACTGGGAATCCCATAACTGTAGGGTCTCTGAATCGATCTCCATCACCACTGCGCTCACCTGCTTCTTCCCATGGACTGGGTACATCACCTCCCACCAGCATCGAAGCTTCATTTATTAAAGGCCTCGACATGTCCCCAAGTCATCACGCGGTGCGTCGGCCCGGAAGCCCACTGCCGCTGGCTCAGAGCCCCGTGTCTTCTAGTTTCGGTGGGGAGCTGAATGTGGAAACGATGAGTCAGGCGTTAAGAAGAACGGGCAGTGGAGATCTGGGAGGCGTGATTAGCCATACTACTAGTGCTGTTGGAGTTGACGAGACTCTTGATCGTTCAACCGGAGCTGGAGGCTGACTCGGATAACATGGCAACGGGGTAATTAATTCCTTCTATGATAGGCGTTATGATCAAATGCCGGCGGGAGTTGCCCGTACTATCGTTTTCTATGGGAATGGGGGATGCCATGTGACACATGGCATTGTTTTCGGTGGGCAATGTAGGCAGGCTCGTGTTCCCTTTCGTACATTTCGGCAGGATTGCTGGTGCTGGTTGCTATTTTGCTTTGATGACCTTACATAACTCAATGTATGGAGCTGGCTATCCTTGAGTATACGTGCTTCGAAGAGCTTCGAGTTCTGAGTACTTGGTCGCCACATGATATTTAACTATGTTTGTACTTATTATACCCTTGATTGTAACTGGAATTACATGACGATACAAGCAATAAACACACTAGTAAATATTAGCAAGTTGAAAAAACCGCAAATGTTGGAACAATGTTGGGCTCCTTGGTTCTGTCAAATTTAGGATACCGTGACCCTGTCTGTACCTACTGAGTCTGTACTACTAGGTAGCTCGGAAATTGCATAAAATGCCAGATTAATATTGTTGAATGCATATATAATTTTGGGATTGGCAACTCTATTTCCGTGCCCTTTCCACCGCGTCCAGTGCAGTCTTGAACCTGGAACGCAAGTCTGATACCTCCTCGAGTCCGACGCTGATTCTAACCAGGTCAGGGTCCACATTGAAAGATTTCGCCTGGAAATAGGAATTGCTTGTTAGTTTGAAGCATTTTACAAAAGCAAATTTGTGAAAGAGTACATACCCATTCCAATTCACCGTAGTGAGCCAGGAGAACGTAGGGGGAACTAGAAAGCAGCGTTCAGTCAGTATGTTCGGAACCTGAGGTATATCTTTTGAAAAGAATTTTAAACTTACGCAAGAGTGAAGTTTGTGCCGAGACTCGGGCCCTTCAGGACCTCGAGGGTATCGTAAAATGCAATTGCCTCGGCATTTGAGTGGAAAGTGACAGAGAAAAGCCCACCATAACCGCCGTTAGGGTTGCGCAGGCTATCATAAATGGGTCGTGTCGGGCTGTATTTGGGGTAATGGACTTCCTTGACTGTTGATGAGATTAGTATTGCAACACGGCGTGAAATATAACAGAAAAAAAGGACTGAGAAATGCTTACTTAGTGGCGAATCCTTTAGCATGGCCGTAATGTTCTCAGAGGTAGAATTGATCTTGTCGATTCTTGCCACAAAGTCCCGGCTGTTTCGCTCCAAGAAAACAGCATCCTCCGCCCAGTAAATATCTTCATAGTCCCGTTCATAAGTTTCTTTCAGGAGTTTGTAGTACTGCCCTTGAGGGTTAAGCACTGCACCTCCACCCATGACGTTACTGTCACCGCTGAAAATCTTGGTAAGACTGCTAGCAACAATATCCGCGTACCGAAGGACATTGATGTTGATGAAATTGCTGATGGTTTCGTCGACCACCACGGCAAAGTCGTATTTATCAGCCAGGGAACGAATGCGAACAAGGTCAGGAGTCCTCAGAAGAGGGTTTCCAGGAGCCTCAAGGAAAAGTCCAAGGAAGCGTTCGCCATTCTTTAGTCGCGCTTCCAGGTCGTCTAGGTCCTCTGATGAACCATGTCCATAGAACAAACAACCGGGCCCCCATTTTCTGGAGAATTTTCAAGGTATCGGTATAAGGGAAGCCAAAGCAGATGCTTTTCAATTGGCCTCTAGAGGCCAGAAGTGTTTGATGAGCATTGAAGATGGCGCTCATTCCAGAAGGATATAGGTAAACATCGTCCTCGGAGATACCAGCAACGCGACCTTCAGCCGAGTCCGCTTCAAGAGCTTCTGGCAGCTCGACATCAGCAGTTAGGACACCCGAGATGCGCTTTCTCACGGCAAGCTTGGCTTGGTTTGCAAGCATGGTGCTAAGGTTTCGGCCGAAGCGTTCCTCAATGAACTGAGCATAGTCCCGACCATCCTCCACGCCGTTAGCCAAGGGAGATGCCTCCGCAGGAGGACTACGCGTGATTCCAGTGATGGAGCCTTTTCCCTGGTATCTCCTAGGTCCCTTACAGGGTCGTTGCGACAATGACTCGGCCGATGTGGCGGGGACCTTCTCTTCTACCAAGAATCCGTCCTCCAAGGCACGCAGACAAAACTCGCCTCTTCGGCTCGAAATTCCATTACCAGAATGCTGCCACACTTGCTTAGAAATGGGAGCATGTTCCTTCGGGTATATAACGGCCGACAAGGAGGAAGTGACTGTTGTTGGTCCGGCCTCGGCATGCGGGGAGGGAATAAAGTTCACGATGCGGACTTTGCGGGCGTCCTCGGCGGGCAGTTTGGAGAGGATGAACGATTGGCAAAGGAGGGCGGTTTTGACAGAGGCGAAGAGAGTCGCCGTCTCTGTTTCTGGGTTTCCGTGACGGCGAATGATTTCTTGGGCGAGTTTCTGGATGCTGGGGTGCACGAAGAACCGGGGGTAGCCGCATACCATTTTACTGATAACCCAGTCTTCACCTTCTTCGTAGCCGACGTTGGCCCTCCAGGTAGGTAACGATACACTGACAGCCTATAATTTGGTTAATAATCCATCCAATATCTCACACCGAGGACGATTGGCCTTGCGACAACGAGAAATGACGAATGCTCCTCCAAAGGTGTAATGGAGGGGCTCATCGCGGGGTTTAGGAAACATACATGGTCAGTGTTCGGGGGCACTGTCCCTCCAAGTGCTTGGAGCATGGCAAAAGTTTTGATTAGGAAAGCTTTGGAAATGTCAATGGCAGAAGTAAAGAGTGAGAATGATGTAGAAAGAGAAAGAGAAAGAGCAAAAAGTCGAGTCACATAACTAGATGCGACTTCGGCGCACCAGGAACGAGCACGAACACGGCATGACTCAGCGAGTGGGTCCCGCGATGCCCCAGTCCGTGTTATCGCCCGAATTTTTTTTTTGAGATATCAAGCTCACCACTCACCACATTCGCTGCTACGTCAACCAGCTTCGTGAAGTTGCCACAATGTCTTCACACACGGTGAAGCGACGGAAGATTAGCCCAGAACCGTCTGGTGCTCCTCAATCCCACACCAACCCACAGACCGCCGCAACAACAACGACTGCCAAGAAGAGTGACCACACCTCTTCTGCCCGCCGCAATGACTCGTTGACAAAGGGCCTGTCAGGCAATAAAGGAAAGGATGAGCGATCCGCTGAGATTGCAATGGCTAGTGGCCATTATAAGTCCAGCTTCTTCAAGCTGCAGATGGATGAGCTACTGACCGGCTTGAGACCGAACTACGACAAGCAGATCTCCAAGTTACAGGATACTCTGCACAAATTGAAGGGCGCCATTGAAAACCTCCCCGAAAAAGCTCCCAAATCCGCCTCGGAAGCGGAGAAGGAGCTTCGCACTGCATCCGGCGGAGTCGCAGTCCCTTGGCCCGAACCCCGACCTGCAAAAGATGCGAAATATACTATGTCCTACGCGAAACCATCAAACATAAACGTGATCGGAAGCTTTGCACTGAAGAATGGCGCCAAAACCTCCGACTCTCGCCCGGTTGATTTGGCGGTGACTATGCCTAGCTCGATCTTCCAGGAAAAGGACTACGTCAACTATCGCTATTTCCACAAGAGGGCATACTATGTTGCATGCATCGCAGCTGGAATCCAGGAGACCGCCAACGCCCTTGATTTGGAGGTCAAGTTTGGACACCAGGACGGAGACAGCCTTCGTCCTGTGATTCTATTGGAGCCTCGCCCTTCCACCAAAGGCGGCAAATCGACATCGTCGCGCCCCCAGATCCGAATTTTGACTGCAATTGATCCTAATCTATTCCCAATCACCCGGACGCAACCCGCGAAATGCAACATCCGACAAGGCTCTTCCACCGACAATGCGGAAATTGGCGAGCCGACTCCATTCTACAACGCAAGTCTTCGATCCGAGGCCGCAGTCTCCCTCTACCATAAACAGCTCCACCTGGCTTCTCAAAAATGCGAGTCATTCCGCGACGCTTGTATCCTGGGACGCACATGGTTGCAGCAACGGGGCTTCCACTCTCCATTCCAAAATGGAGGGTTCGGTGGTTTCGAGTGGGCCGCGCTTGTGTCCCTTTTGTTTGAAGGCGGTGGCCCTACTGGACAGCCAATTCTCATGCGTTCCTACAGCAGCTATCAAATCTTCAAGGCCGTTATACAATTTCTGGCTGGCCGAGACTTGACGACGCCTTTGCTATTGAACGCCACCGAAATTCCTGTCTCTGGTAACGGTCCGGTACTGTACGATGGTGGCAGGGGATTAAACATCCTATACAAAATGACATCCTGGTCCTATGCGTCCCTCCGTCATGAAGCCAGTATCACTCTCAAGATGCTTAATGAATCCCGGGTGGACAATTTTGACCGAGTCTTCATTGTCAAGGTCGATGAGCCGGCTTTGAGGTTTGACCGTCTTATCTCCTTCCCCAAGTCATTCCATGGCGATACCCTTCATGCTCTTCGCGAACAGAATGCGCTGTATACTGTTCTTTCAAGAGCCCTTGGAGATCGTGTCAAGCTCATCTCTTTGACGAGCCATTCTGCTGGCACTTGGTCGGTCCGCTCAAAGGCACTGAACAAGAAAGCAAGCAATGAGCTTTCGGTAGGTCTTCTGCTCGACGCCGATAATGTCTCCCGCGTTGTCGACCATGGCCCTGCCGCCGAAGAGAAAGACGAAGCAGCATCTTTCCGAGCTTTCTGGGGTAACAAGGCGGAGCTCCGACGTTTCAAGGATGGCAGCATTCTAGAGAGTCTTGTGTGGTCTGATCAGCCTTCTGATGATTCCATTGTGCATCAAATCTTGGTCTGCACCCTGGACCGCCATTTCCAGATTCCGGAAGATGATTTCCTGCTTACTGGTGATGAGTATGACGACCTGCTCTATGACGAGGGCGACGAGATTGTCTCGTACCAAAACCCCACGTTCCAGTCTATCAAGGAGGCATTTAGTGAATTGGAGCAGTCAGTCCGAAGCATGGAGGAAGTTCCATTGGAAATTCGACACCTTGCCCCAGCCAGTCCACTTCTTCGGTATACTGCGCTTCGAGTACAAGGATCCGCAGCCAATGAACCGGCAGACGTTGTTCTTCAATTCGAAAGTTCATCACGCTGGCCCGATGACTTCGCCGCCATTCAAATGACGAAGGCTGCTTTCCTCATCAAAATCGGAGATTCTTTGAAGTCAGCAGGTGCCGCATCCTCATGCCGCGTCGGGCTGGAGAACGAAACCAGCAAGATCCTGAACAGCGGATATCTTGACATCGTCCACTCCTCGGGATTCCTCTTCCGCCTGAGAATCCACCACGAGCGTGAACAAACCCTCCTCGAGCGCCAATTAAAAGACAAGACCATCAGCCCGCGGGAACGGGAAGAAGTTGCCCACGCTCTATTCTCTTACAAGAAGAACTTCATTCAAGCCCCCCCGTTTGACCCAAGCGATTCGCAGTCTTTGCACTCGATTCCCATTACTCTCCCCAACCATTCGCCTGGTCAAATTCTGGTTCCACTCCCATCTTTTCTCAGCGCACATCTGTGACGAATTGATCGAGCTCATCACAACCCGAGCTTTCACACAGCACTATCCCTGGAACAGTCCCTCAAGCATCATGACCGGGTTCTTGCGAACATTGCATTTCCTTTCCCGGTGGGATTGGCAACACGAGGCTCTAATTATCGATCTTGCCGGTGATTTAACCTCCGAGATCACAGAGAAAATCCGCACCCGATTCAACGCATGGCGTAACATCGACCCGGCCATGAACACACTTGCCCTTTTCGTCGCATCCGACATCGACAGCGAAGGCGTAACCTGGACGCAATACGAAATGCCGCCCAAGGTCGTCGCAGGCCGGATGTCCGCTCTGTCCAAGGCAGCAATGGACTTGCTCCGAAGCCAGGGTCACGAATTGGATGTACCCGATCTCTTCCAAACCTCCCTTGCGCCGTATGACTTTGTCATCAATCTGCGGTCGAAGATGCTCGGAGACCGCGCTGTATCCAAATTCAAGAACATTGCCGAGGCAGAGGTTTCCGGTCGTGCGAGTAAGATGGCCATCGTCAAGGCATTTGTTCGTGACGTTCAAGCTTGCTACGGTTCAAGCCTGCTATTGTTCCACGGTGATACAAGTGCCGATGTCGTTGCTGGTATTTGGAACCCGCAGACGCTGAATCCTAAGACCTGGAATCTTAAGACTGCCTACTCTACTGCACCCGCTCCGGGCAATGATTCTACGCAGCAGGATCGCGTTGTGATTAACCAGTCTGCGATTTTGAACGAAATTGCCAGACTTGGAGAAGGACTCGTTGATACGATTGAGAGCGGTAAAGTTGGTGCATAGATGTGTAAAACATAAAGCATAGTGTGTGTGGGATTTTCAAATGTCGAATTATTAAAATTTTTTATCTTATTGGCGAAAAATGTACATTACCTGCTAGCGCCACTGCAATGCAACCTTATCTTTATCAAATAGACAGAACAGAGACACAAACCCCTCTGGTAGAGAACCACCGTAACAAAATATCGCGTGAAAAAAAAATAACAGAAATCATTTTACATTCTTCATGAGTATCCTCATCCCCGGTCCGATTTACCCGTCGGGACCTGCGAGGAGAAGGAACAGAACTTATCCTTAATTGCGACGACTTCATAAGTTCCCTCGTCGGAGGTTTTGACAGTCTTGATATTCTCGTAGGAAATGTCGTGCTTGATATCGAGGATCTCGGACTTCTTTCCCTTGCGAGCGTTGGAGCTTCGAATATAACTAGAATTCAGAAAAGAGATTAGTATCATAAATGGCGGTAGGAGAGCGAAGGAAAATACTCACGTGAATTCAAATGGCGGCGTTCCCCAGAACTCAAAGTGAAGCTCAGCTTCTCCACCTTCATGGATATCCACAACAGAGAGCTGGCCCTTGCTGATGCGCACGCTTGGCATCTCGTGGATGACCTTGGTGATATCCTTGTGTGCTTTGCACTTGCCACTGGCCCCGTCACCGACAGCAGTGATGGTGAAGTCACCAGCGCGTTCAGCTATACGACGGAAGTCCGTATTGTGTGAGGTAGCTTTGCGCTGCGCACCATTGAAAGTGTAGAACACTTCAAAGGGTGCGTGTCCGGATAGAGCGAATGAAAGTCGCTCACCGACACAGTAGTCGACCTTAGACTCGAGCGGGATGATGGTCGGCACATCTGACACAGCTACGCGGACATTTGAAGTATCAAATTCAGTGGTGCGTTGGCAGCCGCGGGAGTCGCGGACTTTGTGGATGCTGACGACATGTTGGCCAAGGTCCAGGTGACGTCGAGGGATGGGGAGGTTGTGGCGGTGCGAGGGGATCTTCGGAATGGTGACAATCTCTGGCTTGGCGTTTGAGTGGTGTTTGATTGTGATCTCCAAGGAAAATGGAGGTAGGCCTTCCAATGTGATTGGAATTGTCTCTTCGCCGGTTGCGTCTTCTTTACAGAATCCATAGATGTGTCCAGGAGAATCAAACTTGGCGGATGGAAGTGTGTTCACTCTCTGGGTAACCTCGAGGATATCTTGCTTTGGATCGTGATCGTAAAGGTTGTCACCGACCTTGGCAAATTTGTAGCTGTATGAGCCGGGCTCGGAGGTATCCATCTCCATCGCGACTACGTTCAGAGCTGTGTTCAAATTGCGGGAGCGAACAGATGATGACCCGCGGTCTGTTTTGCGTCGTTGTTCATACTGAAGCGCGAATGGAGGATTGCCGGAGAGGCGTAGCTCGAGGCTGTCATCATCGCCTTGGCAGACCTCCGGCTTCACATACTGGCTCACAACGGGCGAACTATCCACAGCGGTAATTCGTGGTCGCGGGATCCAAGACACGTCAAACTTATTAGCAGACTGATCCACGGAGCCGGGGCACGACTTATCAAAGACCTCCACAAGCTCATAAACACCATCATTTTTGACAGAGAGAAGAGCGTTGCTGTCCCAGAAGACTTGGTCCAGAATCGAAGCGCCAGAATTGGTATTCCGGTATTTCACTGTCCACGGTTTTTCACCGCTAAGTCTCAAGGGGATGTTGATCTTCGAGCCTTGCAGAGCAGTGATGCTCCTCTGCTTTTCAATTTGACCAAACGCAGCATGTGGAGGCTTCGACCGGGCATCAATTCTGATATTTTCCTTGAGTGTTCGTTTGCACTTTGACTTGTCCTTGACGTTAGTCAATGCCAGAACATATTCACCACCATTTACCAACTTGTCGGTTGTGATAGTGGCCACCTCGGTCTCAGACTCCAGTGTATGCTTCGTTCTCTTGCCATTGTTGAGGAGTTCGTATTGAAGGGTCCACGGAGCTTCGCCCAAGAATGCTACATCCACGGAGACGGATTCACCGAAGCAGGCCTTCTTCACGCCTCCTTGGCCACGGAAGTGCGCCGAGGCTGGTGGCTTGACATCCTGTTCGAGAACAGGCACTTTGTCCCTGAGCGAGCGAGGGGAGTAGATAGAATCCTCGATATCGATGAAACGGTATCTATAAAAGCCTGCCTCTGACGGTGTAAGGTCCAATTGGGTGCGGAGGCCATCGATCCTTTGGGTTTTGGTAACTGTACCACCCCGATGAACAGAACTTTCGATGCTATAGCGAAGACGGAAAGGTGGCGATCCAGTCAGATCCAGATCCACGAGGAGACCAATGGCGTTGTTAGCGCATCGGTCAAACACCTTCTCTGCCTTGACAGACAATTCGGGCTCGGGAGGATTGAGCAAGTAGCAAGATGCGGGCTCGAGTACCTCTCCCGGGCAGTATTGACTGGCAACCGATTGCAATGAATACCAACCAGATTCTTTAATTGGCGACTTCTGATCGAGGTTCTTCAATGCGAGGATTTTGGCACTATCGGGATCTCTCTGGCTTTGAGAAGGATCGGAATTATGGAAAGAGTAGGCCACGGTAAATGGGCCATCATTAGCGTACCCCATACCAACATTTTGGAAGTTGAGGGGTAGATTGACGCTGTCTCCATGGGCGACCTCCAATGGGCGCTGATCATCACAACCTGACAAGGACACACGCGGACGCTCGTGAATCGAGAACTGATGCCATTGCGAAGGTGATTTAGAAGATGGTTGATCACCTTCCTCGAAGAGGGTAGAGTAGTTTGCAACATTCCCTGCGGCATCGTGAACCTCCTCGATGGCGTAAAACCACTCTCCACCGATGTTCAAAGACTCGTTCAGGGGGACGTCGATTTTTTGGCTTTGCGCCCACGAAATATCTGGCTGCTTGATACTGAAGAGAGCGCCGGTCGATCTTTGACTCAATAACGGGGATCGTAGATTATCTGGCTGGATATTTTGGAATGAATATCCACGATCGAGTTGATTGACCTGTCGACTATACTTGATCTTCAGTGGAGGCGTGCCTTCAACTTCGAGCACTAGATTCGACAACTCTCCCTTGCATTTGTTCGTATGGGAGTTTTTGATAAGTGCCCGAGGACAGGATACCACCAAAGCATCTGATATCCGCGTGCGAACATCAAGCTCTGATTTATCCACAACTCTCTGGAGACGATAGATACCGGTTTTGCGCACGGGGATGAGGAGATCTCGGTGGGGGACTGTGTCCACAGTGGAATGTCTCTTCTCAGCCTGGCGTTTGAGTTGTTTCAACTGTTTAGCTGGGACTGTGAGAGTCTCATTCTCGCCTGTGTGGAGATCAAGGCGCAAGATTTCAATGAGAATCGGGTCAGTTTGGTTGACGCGGATGGGGAGATCAATGGTGGTCCTTTGGGAGTCGAGACAAAGTGGCTCACGCTCGGGATTGAGAACAGCAGATCTAAAAAGGTCAGCTAGAGCCAAAAACATTTTGTCTCCATTTGAGCAAAACTTACCCTTCGGGCAAAATGTGCACGATTTGTTTTCCCAGAATCAACGAAGCATTGTGAATGATGTCACCCGGCTTGACCTTTCGTTCGGAAATTGAAAGCTCGCGGTCGTAAGCAACTTTAACCAGACCTGCAAACCATGCGCCAATGGGTAGCTGAAACAATTCGATTAGTCTTCATCCTCTCCATCCCTTACCAGCCGGAAATCAGAAGTAAACTCACCGGAATACGGAACATCAGAAAGACATTACCAACGACATGCAGCAAAAGCAGTGCCAGAGTTGTCGGGAAAGCCCATTCCAGCCAGGGAATGCGCAAGGCCTGAAGACCAAAGAGGAAAACTCCATCGAAAGTAACCCATTTCAAGAATAACCAGGTCGAGTCCAGCTCGTCAGATGCGGTCCAAGACTCATATACACGCCACAGGTTGAGCACAAGGTAGAAAGCTACCACATAGAGCCGTTGTGAAGGACCATCGATTAGATCGACGGGGACGAGCGGGTTGCTGGTGTTCTGGGGCAGTTTCGGCGGCGATGCCTTTGCGGGTGATTTGGCAGAGGATCTTACAGCGGGCGTATCGCGCCCATCGCGAAAAGGTTGAGACCGAGAAGGTGTTTCAAACAGCTTCTTTCTGTTCCTTGGGAGGGTTTGAGGCGTCTGCGGAAAAGCAGACTGAAGGCGGGGAGTACCGTTCATGGCATGCTGCGATCACCAGGGTCCAGCTTGGTTGAGAAGTGATTTCCCACGCAAGGAAGGAATACCAGGGCGCGACGGTCACTGGTCCTGCGGCGACAATAGGGCGCAAGTCGGGTTGGGCGACGATTGAATGTGGATCACCAAGCAGTTGGGGGAGATGGGGGGGGTTGGAAAAACAGAAACAAAAAAGTGATTGTGACCGAGACGCGGGAAGCGCGTCGGAGGAAGCTCGGTCCACCGCCGACATGCCTCTACAGTATACAACAACCGCAGTCGATGGGGTCTTTGGGGAAAGAAAATGTCATTTTTGATATTGGGGGAGACTACGAGCTTACCTCAAATATTAAGCAGTCTCATATACTATTTCAGCTACTTTATTATGGCTATGGGAGAATACTGATAGCTTTGGGAGGTCAACCTTAGGAAAGCGGTGTAAGCTCATCTATTCAGGTATTGTACTGCTAAGGAGCCTCTGAGTATATACAACCGGCAGTAAACTTGACCATGAGATATTAGGCAGCATTGAGGAAGGGGGTACACAGGTAAGATACTAGTTCAAGTTATATTCACTAGCGGTAGCCTGAATTATGTCCGCTTATGAAGTATTAACATACTACATCCCATAATACACACAATTAATAAAATATATTCTGGCCGAGAGCTCTATTCCCACATTAGGCAGAATGCAAGGCGGTCAGCCCTTTAGACGTAGCCTTCGCAGTGTTTGTATCTAGTCCTACATTACATACCCAATTTCAACACTTTCTACAATTTCTCTATCACA